ATGTGCCTAAATGATATTTAATATTGCAAAGCGTGTAAAAATGATATCTCCGAACAAGACGTGCATTATAATATTATTTACATTTGTTACGTACACACGTAGGTATAGTATAATCATCGTTTTTCAATACAAAGAATACGGTATAATCGCGCTCTCATAATATTTTTACCGCTATAATCAAATGTATTTTTTTATCATCACAATGCAGTATATACCCATAATTTCATCATTAAGTCAATTCGATAACGACTCTCGTATTTTTTCATTCATAATTTTAAATATTAAAAAATCGGTGTTATTCGTGCAGGTAATTAATTTGTAAATTACCGTGAATTTTTACAATACAAATTGTCGATGCATTATAATATATTAATATGTAAGTTTTATGTGCTCGAATCGGGATATTAATTTGATTAGGAGACGGTGAATTCAAACTTCTTTTTAGAATCCTTATCAAATCACTTTTATAAATTATCACATGAATCAAATGCATCAATATAAACCGTTGGATGCCTACGTATTGAAAGCACAAGTTTTTAGATTACGTACCTATATATCCCATAAAAAAGGCTCTATTTCTAGGTGATTATAAACTCTCCCGAATTGCATGATAATACTATAAATTGCAATCCTGGATAGACTTCTGTTATACCTAAATGGTATATTATGTTAAATACAATCTATCAGAGCCATTTTTACCCTTGAAGTATAATATGTAAATTTGACAGTCTTAAAAATATATCATCTACAGCCACGCCAACGGTAACTGTTATACAATGATATGCTGATTTTAATTCATTTATTTAAAAAAATCAAAAATGCGTCTTAACGTGTACCTATAAAAATTAAGAACAAAATTTAAAAACTAGTTAAAAAAAAAAAAATCTAATAAAAACTATAAACATACTACATACATAATAAAGATTCGCATCAATTGTCAATGTTATTAATTCAATTGTTATAACTTAATCTATGAAAAATACTATTCGTAGATATTGAATATTTTAATTTATTATAATATAATATTCAAAATAAAATAAATCTCGTCAACACTTAAAGAAACAACCTAGGAGATATTATATACTTAGTAAGACAACACGTTGACCCAATAGACTTAACATATTATAAAATATATTAATACTATACTCTTCAGAGTTCAGGTATCGAACTGAAGACGACCCAGGAAAGTCGTAACCTTAGGGTAGATTGTTATGCGATTACATAACAATCGACAAGTTTAACCAACCTCATAATCCCTCTGGTCAAATCTCATTATAATTATCTTTAGCACGTTCTTTAAAAATATGAAATTAATTAAAATTTATAATCATGAACGATACGATGGGATTTTAATTTTTAAGTATTTTATTCTTTCGTCATCTTAAATCGAAGTCAATGTTGAATTGTTGCGTGCACAGTCGACGAGTCTTAACGTTCAAAATTTAATATTAATAAAATTATAATCAATGTATATTTGTGACGCCTGTGACCTAATTCAAAACTATTGTTTTATGTCTAATGACTAATACGATGTTATACAACATACGCGTATAAATATTTAATTTGTGTTGAACACTACGCAAATATAATAATAATTTGAAAAAAAAAATGATGATTACAAAAATCGATAATATGGCAGTGATAATTTTACAAAATTGAAAGTATCAATCAGCTAAATTAACAAATTGGTAAAACCTAATGACTAATAAAAACGATAACAATCAGTGAAAATAGAACATAAATAATTTTGAAATCTGTGTTACAACTTACAACTTATCAAATCATCGTCATAAATTTATAACTAATTAATACTGTAAAATTATTTAAAACTAATAAAGTAATAAGTTATTAATTTTATCTCTTATTTATTTAAACATAATGTTGATGCGAGATTAAAAAAAATATATATTTATCTTAAATTATTCAAACGATAAATAATGAAGTTTATTATTTTATCATAATTTAAAAGCATTATTCATCAAAACTTAGAATTTCCACGTATATTATATATTAATTATAAACTTAACTATACTACGTATAATTTTTGATTTATTTTAAGAAAAAATGTATGTGTATTATGAATCTATAATTACTATTATATACGGTAGTTACAAAAACATTAAATACAATTGAAAAATTAAATTTCAAGTTATATAAATGTTTATAATTATAATAATTAAATACTACATCATCCAAGAAAAAATTATATTAACTTACCTTAATTATAAAAATAAAATAAATTATTTAAATTATTAAATTCAAAAAGAAACATATCACAAAATATGTTTAGTAATAGCATAGGCTGAAAAACCATTTCCGCTAAAAATTATTTTTTTGTATACCTAAAATGATGTTCATTTTTAACGCTATCCATATAGTGATCTAATCCGAACTGCACCCATACTTGTCTACATTTTATTTAATTAAATTTTTAGTTGTTTATTTTAATTGTGGTCTAATAACAGCCTATGAGTAATGATATTATACATAATATGTTATACTTTTATCCTGGTAGAGTAATATTAGTTTTAGGTATGTTTTAAGTTTAAAAGTTTTAATAACAGTCTAACAGTGAGAAACAATTAAGTACACTCATACTATTATTATAACGATTACAATATTGAAAAAAGTCAACAAATCTTTATTATTATGTGTTTAATATATTGTTTTAAAATCAATACAATTCTTCAACTTACAACTAGAACAACCGTTCAATCATTTATTCCTCTTTCTATCACTAACTACATGTGCAATATACCCAATTGGTGGTCAATGTCTTGCCGCCAACGATGATTTTATTTTTGAAACTCAATAATTCTTTATAATTCGTTTATTTCATAAGTGTTATTAATAAAATTTCTAGTTTGTAATTTTATTTAAATCTAACCTGTAAAATGTATATTTATATAAAAAAGTCCATATGCCTGTATATTCAGTAAATAAATAAATAAATACTTTACATCAATACAACATAGTTATAACACTTATAACGTCAAAGTTTTAAATAAATAGGTTCGTTATTATGGATTATAGGTACTCAGGAAACTATTATATGAATGCGTTTCACGGTATTTACCGGTCTGTATTTTGATCGTAAATATTGATCTACACGGCAAGCCAAGTAAATTCCACAGAACAACTCAAAAGTGATTAATATTGTGAAAAAGACCGGAAGCAGAATTAAGTATACGGCGTTGGAACTATAAAGATACTAACTTATCGTGTAGGTAACTCATAAGAGGTCAATATTCAATAATAAAATAAACATGATATGAATAATTGTGATAAATAACGCATTTTAAATAAAGCAAACCAAATTATACACGATTCGTACAAACTGTATAGATTGTAAATACAATAAACGCTCTTCTTTCTTAAAAATATCTATATATCTCGAAAATTGAAACAACAAAACGCTTATAGGTGAAATTATGTAATAATATGTATTTCATAAAGTCAATAAATAATTACATGAATGGAACATGTAACAAATAATAAATATTATAAATATGTTCTAATAACATATAAATATATTAAATGATCCACATAATATTACCTATCTCAACGATTTAAAATACTGCACTAAAAGATTCGGTAATTTCTGTTAATATATTATAAACATTAATTCCTGGTCATTTTATTATATTTTAAAGAATAAGTGAATTCAGATATCATTAGATCTTTAAATAGAATAATAAATGTCATATTTTGTTATTGATATTTGCTCATATATTTTAATCAAATCATCAATTTAGTTTTAAAGCAATTAAAAAAATATCTGACTAGTGTCACAAGTCTTAAAATAACAAAGAATATTTTTTTCTAATTGTGAAACACAAGTATACTGCTCGACATATCACATATACAAAATCAATAATCTAATCTATCTTTGTATTTTATCAGTTATAGCAATAAAAAAAATGTGTTCAAATCAATAGTTATTTATATTAGGTATACAGGTATACTCATTGAAAAAACAAGCATTTACTATTTTGACATTTAATTTCTTTTATTTATCTTTCACCGTTCATAAATTTTACAGTAAGTTTTCAAATTTATTCTTCCCATCCCCGAGTATAGCTACGTAGGAAACATATAACTACATTTTATTGCTGAGTAAATGGTTAAGCTAATTTTATTCGGACATTGTATACGATTAAACATTTACATATTTTATTTGAATGTAATGAACGACAATCAGCCAGCTGGTAAATAACGACGTTTTTAAATTTTTCCAAAACCATTAAATATTAATAAAAAAAAAAAAAAAATATAAATACACTTTATCTCGGCGACGATACAATTAACTATATTATGATGTATTATATTGCGGTGGAAGGTTTATAATAATTTACATCCTTCCTCCATACGAGCACCGAATTAACCATACAATTTGAAACTCTATATACTTTATAAATAATAATAATATAATAGTATGAACTTTCATTTTCAATTGTAATAATGTGTGCATCCATATTGTTTTTGAAGATGAAAGATCCACGAAACCGAAAAGTTAGATTAAGTAATTGTGATGTAGATAATATTTGATCTCACGTTTCCATTGTACAGGTAATAATTCGTTTTATTGTAAATGAATATTATTTGTATTTCACTTACGAACATCTCTCATGATAATCTGAATCGGCAATTTTATTGTCAATTATTGTCAATAAAATTATAATATATTATTTAAATATTCTGTGTATACACCGCAAATATAATTTAATAATTGTAAATAAATTGAGAAAAAATATGCCAAAAATAAAACAGACTTAATTTATCATTATTAAATTTAAAAAAAAACTTTCAAAAATATACACTATTCAGTAACATAACAGTAAATAGCTTATTAAATTAGAAACAATCATAGAATATTTACATATGCATTACAAAAAAAAAAAAAAACATTACTATACAAAATACAGTCAACGGTTTTTAAAACCAAATCAAAACAAAGTACCTATACCTATATTACATATTTTTCTAATATTGTGACTTACGGTTGTCAAACAATTTTATTTATCGATTTTGTCCACTTTGGAAGCGATTCAATGGGGTACCTAAGGACCACCCTCGAAATCCCATATTTCTTAAAAAATTGTATCACGTTGATGATTAGTCGATTTCATTATTTTTTCAAAAAGATCACCATTAAAACGGCACTTTATTCATTACTGCTATAGCAGTACTGACCTCCGACAGAGCATATTCCTATGGCGGCCGTAATTAATTCGTAATAAATAATCAACAAAATAAATCGTAATAAATATTACGTATTGACGTATTATGTTGGATTTATCGATAGCGAAAATAGTAACAGTTATCACTAAATAAATTATAACTAATCAACAAAAGAATAAAAATGGAAAATACGTGTGTATAATTTTTTTTTTTATTTACTTATCATAATTAAAATGTTTCAGCACATTAAATGCTGTTACAAGTACAGTAAGTTATAATTACAATTTAAAATTTAATATCAATATTAAATTAATATTATTAATATATTTTTTTTTTTTTTTGTGTGTGGGAGTGTACAATTTTAAAGATGTGTATAAGCAGATTAAAAATAGAGTGCCCAATGGTCCATGAGATGTCCTGGGTCAGAACAACTTATACTCTTACATAAGAGACCATTGAAAATATCACTGCTATAGCAGTAATATTTAAAAATGACCCCTGACGTCAACTATTCGTATTACTGCTATACCAGTAATATTTGGCAACTGTACATCAACGTTAAAAACAATAATAATGCAAAAAAAAAAAGAAATGTATTATACCATTAACTGTTATAAAACACTACAACTGTGTAGTTATAGGGGTATGTCGTATGTACCTATTAGTATAAAGTATAAATAAATTATGGTAATATAAAATATACTATGATGTAATATTATTATGAATATTATGACTTAGTTACCCCAACCAAGTCTCTGGAACTGCCACAAATATTAATATTTCACATATGCACTACAAGTATTAATAGTATAGCACTATTATACGCTAATAAAAAATGTTTGCTTCATTTATTCAAGGGAAGCGCGGTTGAATTTTTTATTTTTGAGGATTTGTGAACCAAAAAAGTTTGGGAACCACTGGTGTAAATATAACAATATAATAAATATATCGGTATTCTTTATGGGATCTTTTGCTTCCCATAATCTTTTTTTTTTTTTTGCAGACCTCCTCAGGCTTAAATTTAAGGCACTGCAAACTATACAGCTACATAAGGCGCCAAAATTGTATTTAATATTTATTTTGTTTTTATGTGCCTAATGAACTTACATAATTTTAAATTTATTTATTTTTTTTTTTTTAATTTATCTTATTTAGGTTCGGCAACTGAGGTCATTAGCTATGGATAGGAACAATAGGTGTTTTGTGTAAGGTATTTGTTTGTAAAGTTTTAGGTTAGTACGGCGGTTGGAACCACGATGTGTATGTGAGTGCGCCATGAATCCGTCACTCTGGTGGTCACCCATCCGAGAACTAGTGACGCCGGCTGATGCTTGACCTCAGAATACATTAGTGGCTGAGGCCAACCACCGCGTCACACCAGGTCACCAAAATTTATTTTACATCGCCCAGTGAGCAGAAATTGTATTTTGTGAAATGTTTGCCAATTATAATAAGAAATAATATATTTCAAATATTAATATTACGGAGAAGAAAAAATTGAAAGGATTAAATTATTTATAAAGAAAAATATGACATGAAAAAGTATAAAAATAAATATACAATATATAATTACGTGAAAAAAAACTGCAAAATATAGTGTGCCGTGACCAGGATTCGAACCTGGGTTATTGCGGCCACAACGCAAGGTCCTAACCACTAGACGATCACGGCAGATAACAAAATTGTTCGAATTAATTATATTTAACTTTAAATACCATTTATAAATTTTATTATTTGTAATACACTGATAAACTTATTCTTAAAAAGATGAAAATAATATATTTATAATGTTATATCTTATTTAATTATATCCAATAATTCCGCAACAAGCGACATTATTCAGAGATAAACATGACTGTATTTTCTTACTGAATAAAAAATATCTATGTTTATAAAAAAATAAATAAATAAAATAAAAAATTAAGAATACAATTGTTTTTACTTGTAAAAAAAAAAAAAAAAATGTATTCTTAATAAGGTTGCGACGAATCAGGTCAAAAAGATCGCAAACGGTAAAATGTAAATACCTATGTAAATATCGTTTAAAATTCGAGAAAAATCGCTGGACAGTAGGTAACAAAAATACCTAATAATACTATGATTCCAACAATAACAAGAATTGTATGAACACGAACGGTTATAATAGAAAATAATTTTTACAACTAGTAGGACAGTTATATTATTACAGTTATACACTTACCTATACTATAAAAGTTTAGCTATGAACAAATCAAAAACTATAAAGAAGCTAACCGCATTGTTAAAAGCATCAATGGGGTGTTGCACGGGGGCGGCACCCGTCGAAAGGCCAAGCCTGCCAAAAATGCTGGATCGGCTGAGCGTATTATTTAACAACAGCAAGAATAGCAGAAGCTCGAGCACGCACAGCACGACTATGGGGGTAAAAAGTGTCAGATCCGGAACGGAAGATCTGAACAGCAGCGGCGGCGATGTCGACCGCGTCGCCATTGTCAGCTATGAATTGATCCGGAAGTACTCCGCGGCACTGTACAACGCGCCGGAACGTGCCCCCCCTCCCACCAAAGAAATTCTTGAAAATTTCTATTCAAATATTTTTGTACGTAATTTGTATGAATTTGTTTGACGGTTCTCAGAAATTGTACGACACCAGTATTCGAGCAATATCGAAAATACAGAAGAGGGACTGACGACATATGTTTTCAACTCCCCCTCTCCAAATATAAATCATTTAGCATTCGTATATTTTGTAATCAGCGTTTCAAGAAATCAATTTATACGAATTTGTTTGACCATGTTTGAAATTTGTATGAAACCTATCCAGCGTAATAATCGAAATACCCATTTTCCTGTTTAAGTTATTTGCTTATATACCTAGGTACTGTTATATTCAGTGCATTTTTAAAACAGTTTGGAGAAAACCTTTAATTGAGCCTAATGAAGTTGTTGCAGCTGTAATGCATTTCAAAGAGAGAGTGAGATGAAAATGATGAATAACTATGGTGAAAACAGTATAGTAAGTACTAAGTAGGTACTTTTATAATCAGGGCCGTCCTGAAATACAAACTTCCATATAATACTTTTTACAGCCACTCGTATTCGATTTTGATATTACAAATTAACAGCATTAATAATATACTTCAAATTTCAATACTTCTTACAAGTTACAAGTTATAATTGTAAAACAAAAATTTTAACACTAACGTCACCAACCACTGTTATTTCGTTATTGTGACTTCAACTTAAAACTGTTCAAGAAAGTAAAATAAAAAAAATTAATTAAATTTGTTTGGGTAATGAATAATGAGTAATAAATAATAACTAGGCATACATTTTACGATCAAAATTCAAAAGTAGTTTTATAGCTTTATTTATAGAGTATCTGAGTATAGACTACTTAGTACCTAGTTCCCAGTGACTACTAACAATCTTTCAATCATAGCGAAGTCGTAATCGACGGTATTCGTCATTCGGGTATTCTTAAAAATCCCATTTCTTTGCCATGATCACACACCTAAAAATAAACTATAGTGTCGATATTTCGATAGCATAATAAATTATAATAATAACATATCCATTATCGATATAATATGACCTATAGGAAATATCAATGCGTTTTATCCGAATATTCCTAATTTAATAATAATAAAAAAAAAACCATATTATTCGCCATAAATTATTTTAATTTAATACAATATTTGTATTTTGTAAAATATATTATGTCATAATAATATAAAGAAAATAAATACCTCTCTCTCTTTCTTTCCCTATCTCTCTCTTTTTGAACCTTTCTGGCACTCAGAATCTTTAGTGTCATCGTCTCACAAATAATCAATCGCGTCAGCTTGTGTTTACATGTATATTATAATATACTGTTATGGAACGCATAATATAATACCTGTTTCTGGACAACGTAGTTGTCCGTGTTATTCAAATTTTCACAGGGCGTAAAACACGTAAAATATAATATAGTCAATGCTGGTCGCTGGAAAGGATAACATTGAATTGAGTCCCGTAAATACTTTTGGGTTGTAGGAGTTAAATCCGACCAATATTGTTAGGTTATTCGAGTTGATTCGTCCCTTTCTTTAATTGTAATAATAAGTATAAAGAATCAGTTAACTAAAAAATATTAAAAATAATAATAAATAAAGATAATTTTTTCCTAGAGAATAATTTTTTAACAACAGTTATAAAAAAATTGAAAACTTGTTATACTTATAAATATTTCAATAAATAGTTAAAATTTGTTGAAAATTTTATCATAATAAAGATATGGAAAATAATAATTTGGAAATTGCAAATACGTGCTATTATCTTATTATTTTTGGAAGTATAACATAGTACTTATTAAAAATTGTTTGAGGAAAAATAATTATATTTAACGGGTGAATATCTAAACGTACACTCCACTTTTCACTCGTAATAATTTAGTAATTAAGTGAGTATTAACTAATTGTGCGTCACCGACTATACATATAGGTAATTATGACATTTTATCTGTATGGACTCAATTCAGAGATATTGATATAATAATAGCTGGACTCAGTTCAAACACATAAAAGTAGCGTGGACTCAATTCAATATCACCGGCTGTAAATACGTTTAGAAGTTTTCCTTTGTGCTAAATACAGGTAGGATATAATCATATAATAATTATAATTAAATTTGGGTCAGGGTATTACAAGATATAGACGCCTATATTATACAACATCATATTGGCTACCTACAATTTATATATACATACAATAAATAAAGTACGATAGTGTTACTACAGCACTAGAGGGCAACACAGCGACTGAGATTATGATAATATAGTATAACAGTACCTAAATATTGAATGTACACGGTACACAAGAAATGTTTTTGGTATTCTGTGAACATATATTTCACTAGTCTTAACCATGAATGTTGTTAAAGTGTAAAATGTATTATTTATCACAACATCCAAGTTAAGTCAATCATGTAGTCTTGTATAACAAATTATCAGCCTCCCCCTAGAGAAAAATCGTCCCGGCTAGACTAGTGTAATATTTATAGAGTTCAATGCGATCTAAATAAAATCTTACTTTTTCAAAAACAAAAAACAATAGAAAAAACAATTTAAATCTGACAATTTTATTAGACGTGATCTGTTTTTTCGCGTATTCGTTTTTCATTGTTGAAATCATTTGATTTCATATTTTCCATTATCATGACTCAACTTGTAAAATTGAATTTTGATTTTTGACCACCATAAAATTTAACCAGAAATTACCAGAATTTCACCGCTTAATTAATAACATACACTCTAAGGCCTCAGTGGTTCTTGTAATTTTTTCGACAAAAACAAAATTTTACTGTGACAAAATTTTATGACTTCTGCTGGTCCTATTTTAATATTTTAATAACCTTAAGATTGACGTAAAAAAGACAATTTTTGAATTATGAATTTCAACGTAGGATAAACGCTTTCAAAATATAGACATTTTGTTTGACCATACCAAAGTTAGAAAATAATAATTTCGAAATCACTTTGATTAAGTTTCACAGATAATATGTTAAAGAATTAAATTCTCATAAGTTAACATAAGATCAACAAAAGTTTCAATATTTTGTCACAGTGAAATGTCTAAAAAGTACGTAGGTACCTTTATTATCGATTGACAAAAACCTCCTTACTAGAGAATATGCATTTTACTCGTAACCTAGCAATTGTTATTATTTTTTAAATTTACAACCCATTGAATTTTAAATATCATTGAAACGACTACCACTGAAGCAAATCGTAATAGAATAAATTACAATGTAGTTATATATATATTATGTTGTCAATTCTTTGTGACCAAGAATTGTTTCGATGATAATACTATTTACATCAAATATACAACAATACTAATAATTTGTGAAATATTAAAGCAATGACATGTGTGTATATCAAACTCGTATAATGTTTATTATAAATATTTAATTTCAGGCTGGTATTTTAATGCATTTCAATTTTTACTTTTTGCTTAAACAAATAAGCGGAAAATATGTTTAAGGTTGAACTTATTTGTTTTTATCACCAACTTATGGCACTTTATTTTTTGAGGTTTTTCAGTCAATTATACTATTTTTTTTTTTTATTATTATATATATTTGAATATTGCAATTATTATAGTATAAAATACTTTCAATGCATATATAATTATAATGCATATTTTTAATTTTACTGAGTTTTCAGGACATAAAAATCTTAATTTCCATAATAAATACATGCCATACCTATGCACACGATATAATAATATATTTATATATATATATATATATATATATATATATCAAGATCAGAAATCCATATAATTATTAAGGTTTTTAAATAATTGACAATACTGTTATTACGTCGTATACCAATAATAACACATTTGTCAACTTTTTAGTCCAACATTTCCAGTGTAATGAATGAAAACACAGAATATAAAAACGTATGACGTGAGTTTGGTGGTTTTTTTAATATAGAAAGCAATGCACTTTGAATAAATCTTTGACAATAAAACTAAAATATTGTCTAAAATATATCGAAAAAACAAAACAGTGGTTGATGGGTAATAATAAGTTTGGTAGATATAATAATTGCAAATTGTAGAATTTTATGTTATTATTATCACCATCTTAATAATGTGACTAGAAGTAAAAATGTAATTTTGTAGCTGACGGAGTATCATAAGTCCCGTTGTTAGTGATCTATGGCTGGCGTATGGTAAGTGGCGATGGTCATATTCTGCAAAAGTGGTTGTTCAAGACGTGATTGACATTCGTTCACACATTGCGATCCGCTGCGCTTCGTTCTACGGAAATAAACATTAATAGTCAATAATTGGTTTTGTTTAAATGGTTTAACATTCTAAAAAAAAATAAATTATAATATATGAACTCAATAGATTCTCAGTAAAGTTGTACTCAAAACATGATTATAAGTTTATGTACTTTTAATTAATATTCAACTCGATCCTAACCTTATGGATGAAAAATGTTTTTTGGTTATCAGATTAATACTCGTTTGTGTATAAAATTTCCATAATAACACTTTGTTTCATTTAATTCCGTGAGTTTTTTTTATTCTCGCCGTCGTATTATGACACATCGATTATAATAATAATTAACGATTCATTTAACAATATTAGCGTTTTCCAAAAAAGTCTAAATTAACGGATTAAAAATTATGTTAATGCGTTTAAGAGCCACGCAATCTTGTCTATGATTGTTTGTTTTCGTGAAGCTAATCGCGATATAACTAATGAAAAAAAAAATAAACAGTAATGCTACGCCGAACGAATATAATATCTTTCGAAATAATTAGTCAGTCATGCGTCAGATTATTATTAATTTAATTTAATTTTTATTATTATTTTTCGACAAAATATTTTTTCAAACGGTTTGTGCACAATTGATATACATAGTATTTAATTAATATCAAACTTTTAGTGAAAAATTACTGATGTAAACGTAAACACATCCCTATTCCCAATCGACGTTCTTCAGATGAGTGCTGAGTGGTTATTTTTTATGGTGATCTCAAAGGACAAGGGACAGCATTTTTATTTTATAATAAATTATTTATGGACATCGAACATGCCATATAACAAACATTTCTTCAGTGACGTATTTAGTACATAATAATATTTCATTAAATATATGATTGTAAGTTGTAACCTCTCGAATAGACATATGTTACTCGCACAATACATTAACTATTAAGAATAACGTCGAACAATAGTTTTATTATTAAAAATAGGTACCTAACACAATAACATTTTAATATTGTATTTTATGCTTCGGCAATAATATTAAATTGAAACAATAACATCGAACGTATGATTATGCCATAAAAAGGATCAGGAACGTTTTATTTTTGAACTATAGATATGTCTTGATGTTTATCATATTTTTTTAGACTGCAAGAGAATAATAATAAACATATTACAGAGTACGGTATTAAAGCAGTTGTCCACTGATAAAAAATGAGCGAAAGGGGTATATTTTTTTTTTAAACATTTGGCTAATAAAACCAATGACGGAATAAATTTACATAATATATATACGTCGTGTATAATAATGACAAACAATATGTTCTTTGTTGGAAAAAAGTGCAATCCTCACGACTTGGTCGTACACAATGTCATAGTAATTTAATGCCGCTGCGAGCGTGATTTATCATACGAGCACTCGCATAGGTTAAATATCAGGTATAGCATTTAAGCAACAGGCTGGGCGGTATTATAAAATAGTATACAGACATACCTATGATAAATATACTCGAACAACCTTATATTGCGTACAACCTACTTGAAATCATCATGGTTGGGATTTTATATCATTTGCATATCTCTTATATGAGATGGTTAAAAAATAGCATGGTAAGTTAGTAATGTCATCGTGCTTTTATGCGATTTTATTGTTTTTAGTGCTTTTTTGAACTTTTTGAGATTTTTTTGCATTTTTACCTGTTTTTGAATCAAAATCGGTCATATTTTAAGAAATCATATTTTAGCAGAACGTGTTTTTAGATTTTTATCAATCAAATTATCAAGTGAATTGTGTTAATGTATAGATTAAGTAAATAGGCCGATTACGCTGATATAACGCCGTACAATTAAAGCGATAATATATATAGGTATAATATAATATTACGATAAATTTGAATTAGGTACTTGGTTCTAATTTTTGTTATCTGCTGATTTTTTTGGGTTTTTTTGTCGATTTCTACCGTAAGATTTTCTTTTTTTGCATATTTTTAGCGAATATTTAGCGATATTTAAGGTAATATTATAGGGCATACCTATATATGCAGTTTCAAGTGCTATGAAATCCCAACTCTGGAAATCATTACAATTATCAATGAAAATGAGAACGAAGTCGTCCGATCTGTTTACATGCGGCGCTATAAACTATCGCGTGATGCACGTAAGTTATGGACATAGCGTATACCTATATAGAATACATTCATTTTTGTATTGCCTAACCGTATATCTTACAGCCATCAGTGTGACAACAACGATACCCTAGATTATGAAGAAAATGTATAAAATAAAATTAAAAAATGAATTAAAAACGTTGTTTATACCTGAACCAGCTTGTATATGTAGATGAGCGTGTCCATGGACTTGCACTCGTCCGACGCGGGCGCGTTTCTCTTGCCCTGGCCCCACGTCGGCGTGAAGTTCACTTGACCGACGGCGATGCACGCGCATAACATGAACACGACCAACAACAACAGGGTGCGCATGGTGGTGATGGACGTGGCGACGAAGTAAAATATTACTTATAAATAATTATTTGCAGAAGTGACCGTCGAGCGGTTTGCAAACGATCGTGCAATAATACGTACGTACAATGTGATACGGATTATTATGTGCGGCTGATGACGTTGAAATCGTCGGCAAAGGTGTTCGGACTCTGACACGAACGACTTGATGGATGATTCAAAATTGATAATTGGCTGTCTGGACGTGAGCGGCGTCTAATGCTCTGTGCGGTTGCCGGGCGTTTCGGTGCGAATATATTATAATATAATAATATTGTACTCGTGTTTAGTTATGCACGGGTGGTTGCAGCGTGCGTAAATGCGACGTGGTGTAACCGCGAAATGCCGAGAGTCGAAAGTGATGGCCAACACCCTCAAAGTCTCCGGCTTATATACCTACCCTTGGACGCCTACGCCCCCGAAGAAACCCAACGACGACTTACGCACTCGGAGCGCACCCTACAACACTGTTTATGGTGTGTGTGTGTGTGTGTGCATTTCACTCGATTCGTCTGTCGCACACACACAGCTTCTTTTGATTACGAATAATAATAATAACAATTGCACATGACGTATAATTGATAATTATTATGTGTTTTGTGTGCGTATATTTCGCAATTCGTTTTTAAATGTCTTGTAAGGAGAGTTCCAATGCTGCACATCTAATGTATTACAAACAAGTTGTTATTTAAATAACTTTACAAAAATTGTAATTAAATAGTACATAAACAGTTCATGACAATGTTTTTATACGATAGTACCTGTATAATATACATTATTATATTAGGTGAAGTAGGTAAGCGAGACTGGAGTACCAGGATTCAAACCTTAATTGTTTTATGACATTTTTAATTAGTTAAATGAAATAATACCTTAATAGCTTAATAAATAAATGGGAATTAGTCGTTAAATTTTAACTTTCAAAAATTGTTTAACAAACACGAATTAAAAAAAAAAAAAAACTGTATTATTACATCAAATCTATCATTTGACTTTCAAATCAATATAATATTAATTGATTAAAAAACTGTTTTTACATCAATAGTTAACTAACACCTTTTAGATAGAAACTATGTAATTAATTTAATGTTACAATTTGTTCCCCGATCAATTGTTATACAGTAAAACCTCTGAACAGCGGACACTCACGGGACCGACCAAATTGTCCGCTATTGAGAGGTGTCCGCTATTGGGAAAAATTGATAAAATAATATGTATGTAACGGGATTATGCCGGGACCGGAAATTTTGTCCGTTATTGAGAGGTGTCCGTTAAGAGAGGTTTCACTGTAGTAGCTGTCCACATTAAATTTGTTTGGAAATAATCAAACATTTAAAACATATTATTTACTAGACAAAGCTCCGAGAGAAGTTTTTGAGAACAAAACTACTTCAAAGATTACTATTTTTTGTTCTTATATTACACATAAAAATGTCAAATAAAGAATTAAAACAATATCGTGTAACAAGAAAAAAATTTCGTTTTTGTTTTTACTATTCGTTGTCATAAACATATTTTATATATCGTTTATATTTGTTTTAGTATACTGTGATACCAGAGCTTGCGCTAATGGGTAGTTCTAACCAATGTGGGTAGTTCTAAATTGAAATGGGCAACTCTAAAAACCAATTTGGTCAGTACCAAAAATCGTGAATTTTCTGTATTATTGGAATATGTAATATTGTTTAATTTAAGTAGGTATGTATTTTATTTAATATTTTTTACACAAATGTTATCAATCCATTCCATAACATTTATTATCATATACACATAGAAGATTGTGTAATCTATATGATAACACGATGCAATACAGAAAGTGATAATAATGTGACCATTAAATTCGTCATGTTTTATGTTTATTTTACTAATTACTTAGACGAAGAAGTGACCAAGTGAAAGTGACGTGCGTAGCGAACATGGATTTAAAAAAGGTAAAACACTAATACAGTAATACTAACTTACTATATAGTATACCTACCTATTTAATTATTTAAATGGTACATACTAACATATTATAATTTATAAATATAAAGTAAACACATTTTTTTTTATTCTTATCCAGCAAATGTCACCATATTATTACTATTACAAGGATATAATTTGACATGTGGACCGTCACCAAAGGCTTCAATATTATTTATCATATTTAAATAATATTGAAGAATAAAGTACTTCCTACATTCAGTATGTACTATGGTATATATGTATCCATAGCACCCAATTTAAGCTTGCATTATCTTAGTTTGCTTATATAAGTTGATTAAATAGCTTAATTATTTATATAATTATTTCTTCTCTGCTTTTATTGTTAAATATTGGCATATTTTTTCGGTTCAAGTTTAAATGATGCTGTTTGCATGAATGGCTGTTATTAAAATTAAGCGCACAATTTTATTTAAATGTTTTAATGTTTTATTATAAATTAATCAATATTTCAAAACTTGAATTTTAGAATAAAAAATTAGCCCCAAAAAGCAGTTCTGGTCTTATGAAAAAATGGCTTTATAAAAGTAAAAATACTGATCTTAACATAGGTATGTTAAATTAAAATGTTAAATAAATAATAGATTTTTACCTGATAATAGATAATTTAGTAGATAACTTAATTAACACCACAAGCGGCAATAGCACTTCAGTAAACAGCTTGGATAACACCATAAATACTGAGATTAGTGAGATTCAACAAAAGAACACAACTTTAGTGAATGGTAAATATTGTTTAGAATGTTTTTATAATATTTTAAATGTATTTAATAACCAAAACTAATAAAAGTAATACTTATTTCAGACAGTAGTTGCATTAAACATTTTCATTTTAAAGGAAAACATTTGATTCGTTGTGAGCCATGTTATGCAGAACAAGACATAGTAAAGCGATATAGTAATAATAAATCTAAAGTTCCTGCAATCGCTCAAGAGTATGGAACTAAATATCTTCTGAAAGTATTAAATGACCATCTGTCTACCACATATCACATAGAAGCGATTAAGGTACATAAGTATAAAACTTTAAATACTTCTGAAAAAATGGCCATAACTCCAATGGGAAAAGCAGTCAATCAAGCAAATGACAAATTGGCGAGGAAAATTGGCTGTCTTATGATTCATGTTTATAATGATGCTAAGAAACTTACACTATCTGCTTATTCTTTTCCCAGCCGGGTTATTGTATCACAAAAAGCAAATTTGTTTCAATTAAATGGTGAAGTATCAAATAATATTGATGATAGTGAACTTCAGTATCTAACACCACACACTCATAAAGACCTTCTAGAATGTATTGTAGAAACTCATCAGTCATCTTTTGTGGAAGATATTCTTAATAATTCACTCGCATTGTCTTTGCGCTGTGATGGAAGTGTTGACCGAACTCAAATCGATAAAATGTATGTGTTGATGAAATCTATTACACTAGAAGGAGAAGAAAAACTTTATTTTCTTGGTGCTGAAGAACCTGTTGAAAGGGGTGCGAAAGGTATGTGTGATGCTTTAAAAACAGCATGTGTTAAAAGACTTGGAAATGAAAATTTCAACAATATTTTGAAAAAAACATCTTCTCTAGTTACTGATGGAGCGAGTTCGAATGTAGGACAAAAATCTGGCTTGTGGACCTTATTAACAAATTTGAAAAAAACTGCATGTGGAACTGAAGTTATGAGCCCATTAATTACTTTATGGTGTGCAGCACACCGTTCAAATCTAGCATGGGAGTCAGTGAGTGAATCGGTTCCTGAAGTTAGTTTACTTTTTCAAAAACTTGTTGGTTTAACTACATTTTTTCGAAGATCTGGTTTGAGGACACGAGAATTGAAAAATATTGCTCTTGAGTATAACCTCAAATTGCTTCAACTTCCAAAAGTTTTTGAAGTTAGATGGTCTCAGTTTTCATATACGCTTCTTAATAATGTGCTGGTTTCATGGTCTTGTTTAGTCAATTATTTTAAAAATTCTTCAGATAAAGTTCATGTGGGCCATTTCAAGTTTCTTACTCATGAGTACAACATTCGCCTTATGGCAGTTCTGGCTGATGTTTTATACATTTTTTCAAGGTATCAACAACAATTGCAATCTGATGATTTGAATGTTATTTCAATGGATGAAAAAACTATGTACATCATTAATAAAATTGAAATGTTAAAGTCTACCCCACTTATAGGAGGTTGGGTTGAGGCTTTAGACAAACAAGTAGTTATCAATAAAGATGGTTCACTTACATTAAATTCAATAACTATAAAAAGTATAGAAATTCCACGTCATAAATCCCATCATAAGTTTGTTACACAAAATAGATGTCTTGCAGCAGTTAAACAAGAAATTGTATGTTCTCTTCAAGAATTTTTAAAACAAAGATTTTCTATTGATAAAAATTTACTGTCAATTATAAAACCATTTGTTGTACTATCTTCTGTAGCATGCATCAAAGATATTCATAATTTAATTGGCGCAGACATAGATTTAAAAGAATTTTCATTGGAGTATGATGAATTGATATCAATGGAAAATATATCTGAATTACGAAAAATGAACCTTATTAAATTAGTAAAAACATTATGTGGCTCAAAATATTTTCCAAATGTTTGTACAATGTTGGCAAGAGTGGCAGCTGCTAAACCTCATAGTGCTGATGTTGAACGTTTGATAAGTGCCAGCAACTTATTAAAATCACCATTACGCTCAACTATGAATATTGAGACAGAAAACTTGAGCTTATATATAAATTATAATATGCCACCATTATACGGTTGGGATCCTAGGGACACAGTTTACCATTGGATGTCTAAAAAGAAACATCGAGTCCTCAAAAGAAGAAAAGGAAAGGAACAAAGTTATTTTAGTGGAGTTTTCTTTGAAGCATCTGGTAAAAACAAAATTATCAATAGTGACGATAGTGGCGAAGACACTGAAGATAAAAAAAAAAAAAAATTTTAATTTGTTATTATTATTAATAAATTATAATAAATAAAGTAATGTATAAAGTGTTTACATGTGTGGTCAATATATAGTTTGGTAAATAGTGGTAATTAAGCGAATTTAGCGAGCGACAAATTTACTTAATCTGCATCTACAAAAATATTAAAATGTTGGGCAGTTCTAAAATTTTCTTAGCGCAAGCTCTGTGTGATACAATCAAAGCATTTTTTTTTTTTTAATTTATATTTTGTATAGTGGTAAAATATTGACTGTTATACAATTATTGTTCCGTACGACAATTGTATCCAGTCTCTTCTAATAAGTTCATCTACGTACAATTCGACTACTTTTCGTTAATTCATAAAGTTACTTTATTTTTTGTTTTTTTTTTTATCGTTTATAAAAAACTACTAATTATTATCAACGGTTATAAAATATGTATTTCTAATAATCTAAAATATTAACATAGGTATTGCACATTAATAGATGTGTTGCCCGATCGAAAAAAAACATAATAAACAAATAACAAAAAAAAAAAAAAAAAAATAATAATTTTATTTGAAATCATTTGTAATCACGAAACAAAAATGTATATGCCATCATAAAATCTGCTAAACCGTTTTTTTTTTTCGATAAGGCGTTTATCGCTGATGTATGACATGGTTTATATTAGATGCGATCTTCGATGCAAAATGGTTGTACATCAACTCGAACGTTTACTACCAACATTTATTATTGCATTTATAATCGTGAAATAAAAATATAAACACCATTCTAAACCTTCCAATTTCAAATTCGTTTTTTTGAAAGGAAGGTACTAATGGTACTATATAATATAACAGACCTCACAACAATTATGTAGCGACGACGTGTATACAATATATGACGTAGGTAAATCCTAAGGATTATTTAGTTTAGTTCACAATACGAACTGGATGAATGCGGTAAGTCAGAAAAAAATAACCATTTTATAGGCATACTTACATAACGATTATATATAAAAAAAAAAAAGTAACTATATAATATTTAGAAAAAATATATAGGTACATTAGTACACCTACATTCATAATCTGTTTTATTTAAACGGACGTACGATTATTTGTAAACATCTTAATAATTAACAATATATTTATCAAATCGATTGATACAGCGCATTAGTTTTTACTTTTTACATACATCATACATCTTATTATCCGTACACACTACACATGATAAATAACATAGTTCAAACACATACTTTAAGTAAAGTGTTCGTCGCACATATTTAAAAATATCATGACTGTCGATATATTTATTTTATCATAATATATAATCGTCGATATAATATTTTATCGTCTAAGCCCGACATAATATGTATACCAGTTATTCTTCCGTTTAGCTTGGGAAATTTTCACCGCACAACACCGTATACTGAGTGATTTATTTAAATAAATCATTTTTTAAAAAATACTATAAAGGGTTTTTAAATTCTTTACGTCATTTTAAGCTGTTAAAAAACATTACATAAAATAAAATATTTTATATGATTATAATTTTTATTTATTTATAAACTTTTTTTTAATATCAACAAACATTTTAAATTTATTACCTATTCTAAAGGAAAATATTTATCCACGTTTATTAAAATTGAATTTTGAATGAGCAGTGTATGGGTAATAATTATTTAAAGTTTTGATGATTGGAGTGATGTCGTACAAGAGTGGCACAGGACAAAGAACTCTGTAAACCGTTAGCCAACTAATCCATTCATCTAAACTTAAAATACTTAATGCAATTATAAGTTTATAACTATTGAAAAATTTGTCTTAAATTTGATTTTTCGAAACACTGAATAATATTCTGCTTCGGAATAATGTAAGATAAAAAATGTATGATGTCGCTTAAAAAATTAAAATTAAAGAATTGATAACGATATAAATATTGTTTTGTAATTGCTTAATATTACATGCAACAGAAATAATTTTAAAAACGTTGCTGTTTTTTGAAATAATGATAGTCTTATGTTAAATAAATTACCATGCATATAAAATTATAAATGCATGTAGGTACATTGCGTATATTATATTTTACAAAAATATGACATAAATGTATCTAAAACATTTACTTATTCAATGTCTTCCGTTTATAGAAAATAATAATTGATAAAATATATAAGTAAAAACTACTTAACTATCGAATTTTAAATTCAATTTAATTCATTGACCTGCGCCTAGTCAAAATGTTTTTATTTATAAACATACATTTTTTTAAATTTTTTGACAATAAAAAATTATTTATGAGGTCAAAATTCTTTAAAAAGTAATTTAATATCTAATAACTATGTATATAAAAAGATAATTAATAGGCACAATTTTAGCACATTTGTTTGAAGTTCAAATATTTACAAAATTAGTCAAAATCACAATAACTTACAAACTATAAGTATTTAATTATAAAGTCTTTAACTTTTCTAGAAAAGTTATGAACATTTAAAACAAAATTTCTCATAAATGATTTATACTAGAACTAAAAAATAAAAAAAAAAAATTGAAAACAAATAATACATTTATAAACTGAAATTTCCATAAATAACAAGTAAAATTATTTATTTGTACTTGATAAGAGGCACAAGAAAATTTAGAAGTTATTTTTATAACATATTTAAGTAAGTTTGATAGCCCAAACAAAATAAACAAAAATTAGCGATCAGAGAATCAGACAAGATTCACTATATAAAATTATGTAAAACATCTTGTATTTAAGAATGACACTACGAGTTGATAATTTTGTTGAAAAAATAGTAATTATTGTAAGAGTAATTGTTTTTTCATACAATCAAAAAAAAATATATTTTCATAAAATGTATGATGAAACTTACACAAATTTACACAAATGTATACACTCATTACAAATTATATAACTGAAATCGACGTAGTTTCATATATTACCGAAGGGCGAAGACACATATAGTGATAAGAATATAAAAGGACCAAAACAAATTTTCTATGTGGTACAATAGAATCACATACATAAGTAACTACAAAAGAAAATTGGGAAAATAAAGAATTGAAAATAAAGTCTCGTTGTGAAAATAATTTTTGAAAAAGCAAACTAAATTTAAGAATATTAAATTGAATGAAAGAGAACACCTATACGCGAAATAGTGTTATTAAAAAATGGTTCTAGCTTTCTTAAATCTTTATTCGTACTAGGCCATGATAAAATTTTATTAAGTAATACATGTTCTATGGATTCGTTATTATCTGTATAATGCTGAGACAAAGAAAAGTAAAACTGCTATAAATTTTTATCCAAGACTAATACACAATAAATAAAACACCTTAATTTGTATTATAAATGATAAGTAATAGACTCACTAAAAAGATCTATAAAAATAGAAGTTATTTGTTGGCTTTTCAGTTTACTTTTCACAAATTGAACAAAACATTTGATTGAAGATATTATTTTGTTTAATATAGAAACAGCAACTTCATTGTGTTTCTTATGTTTTAATCAGGAAATAAAATCTAAAAGAACCGTAATTGTATTTATTTTTATAGTTTTATTGATTTACAACATGAAATATACATTTATTTTAAGGTCTTCAACAAATTTATATGTATTTATGAATTTTAACCATACATAAGAAGACTTAAAATAATTAATCATTTAGTTGTAGAACTGTTATCAATGACCTAAAAGTAAATAATTGACTACAAAATATATGAACTGCATACATTCAGTTTATGAATAAACTATAGTATTATTAATCCAAGCCATTTAATAAATTTATGTTTTAAAAGTGTTGTCATACTTATTATTATAGAAACTTAAATCAAGTATTTAATTTAAATGTTTTTCTATTTATTTTTATACAAGTACTAACACGAATGTTCGAAAGTTATGTGTACGAATGAAAAGTATTCGAATGTTATCTGTTAGAAAGTTTAAATGTTCAAATATTTTTTTCGATTATTCGAACTTTTATAGTGGAATTAGCAAAATTTAATTTTTCTAAACTGACTGTTGAAGCAATCGGTTTATCTCATAGATAAAATGCCAGACTCGGATTATGTATATATTATTTTATTATGATATATGTTATAATACTCTACACAATCGGTGTACAATTAAATATGAATTCTATGTTTATTTGAAGAAAAATAAATGTATTAAAAAGATAAATTATAGGCAATTTCTTTTAAAAATTATAAAATCAGCTTTACTCAACTCGGAACAAGATTTTTAATACGTTCTTCTCTTTGTTGTTTGGACTCGGAATTTTTTTGGATATCTGTTTTGAATCAAATCAACTGTTTGATCGAACTTTCTGTCTCGTTCTGAATGTGCTGACCTAACCTAACCTCGTTGGAATCATTGGAATAATGATTACAAATTTATATACACATTTATTTATGACCGGTTTGTCACGCGATTATAAAAGTATACGTACCTATTTCGATTATTATCCGATATCGCAAACTCGTGAATTATATGTTCAAATAGGAAAATATAGCATTTGTAAATAATACTACTCAAACACGGGTCAATTCGAACAGATTTTTTGAACTCTTCATTCGAACACTCGACTGGTTCCCATACATGACTATAAAGTGTATAAACACACATATTGTTTCCAGATCTTACGACATCGACTAGTTTTGATAAAAAAAATCTTCATTTTGCGCCCAAGCGTATTACGCACAAGCGCAAACTATAGATAGAAATAATTGTAATAATTATATAGAAAAGATTTATTTTTAAATAAAACCTTCAGTGTAGGTTGGAGGGTATAGAAATGAATGAACAAGAGTAATCGCTAATAGTAGTCACTGATGTTATTTTAATCGACGTAACTTACAGCATAATATGATATAAAATACAGATGAAACAAAATATTAATTACCTATTAATTACACTGTTTAGCACAAATATCCCGCCATTCTCGGGACCACCTGGTATATTAGTTGTCAATCATGCACTAAAACAATACAATTTAATTTAATACAATATTACAGTGTTTAAAAATTTAAAACGCCAATCAACGAGCCGTCGTGACATCTCTGGAAGCCTGGAATGTTTAAATATTAATAATATAAAATAATATAAAATAAAAAAATAAATATATTAATAATTTAATATTTACTACCGAGCGACGACCGAACTAATCTCGACGCCGCGATATTATCATAATAAATTAATTAATAACAATAATTTTGGTCATCCACCACTGAAAAAAAAAATACACAGAACTTTAGCATATCAAAAACTTTTTCCGATAAAATATTATATAAATATAAGTACGTAATAAAAAAACTAAAATCAATGACATTTTTGTGAAATATGTCGTTTTACACTCGGGACAAATTACAATACGTGTTACTCGTATTTAAAATATTTGTGTCTTACTTTTAGTTTGTTCTTAAAATTATATAAATTATAATTATTATTACGTTATTCAATAGGATTATTACATCATTTAAGTTTTACAAGAACTTTTCCTGGGGTCCCGCCGTAATGAATGAAACAGTTAAAAAACCTTAAAATTTTTAAATGACGAATGTTGTTACCAAAGCAATAATTGAAGTATACTTAATGGTGTAACTTTAAATCAATAAAATAATATTATTTTTTTATAAATCGCTCGACTATTTTCCTTAATCTAAAATAAACGCACTTTGATGAAGTTACACTTGTTTTTTATCACGATAATTAAATAGGTAACGAATGTTTCACTGTATTGCTTATAATTCTTTAAACGGTTTAAACAAAAAAACACTTAAAATATTAGATCGATGATTTTATTAAGCCAGGTGTAATTTTATCAAACTAATTTCGGGTTAACCCACATATATGATTGCTTATGATCATGGTGTACTTTGAGTTTATTTTGGTCCACGAATACATGCGAATTGAGATATTCCACACACAAACTTCAAAGACTTTAAAGGCTTTTGAAATCCACATGTCGTCGTTGTTATAGACTAAATTTAGAACCAGTGATAGTGACTATTCTAATCAAAACATGAAATACCTAATAATAACCTTTGAAAGCGATTAAGCTTAAATCAGAAAGCGACTAATGTAAACACGTGTAACGTATACCACGCGTATATACGATTTGAATTCAAGTCTTCGTTTAGAGTTTAGCCCCTTGTAAATAATATTTACAGTAGACACATTTAAGCATATAACTAAACTGTATCAAGTAGGAAGATGAGATATGCAACAAATTAAATCAATAATAAATATTTATTCAAATTCACGTATAGAAACAGTTATGATGATAATAATAATAATAATAATAATAATAATCTTAATTCACAGAAATAAATAATAGTTACATGACAAATAAAATAATTGACAGTGTATATGTAAATTATTATGTAATAATTGATATCTATGAATATTAAATGTCACATAAAACTAACTATTAAATTAAAAACATAAAATACTAAATACATTTAGGAAATTTAAACACCGTTTGTTTAAATAAACATTCGAAACTCGAAGTCACATCATAAGATTAGTGTTTGTCACCCAACCCCCACGCTTGGATCTGAGCATGCCTTTGACGCCATTTTAATGTGTGTTTGTTGATAGTTCTTAAATCAGATATCGTCTAGTCATAGTTCAAATAAGTTTACTCGATAAGTGACGTTGTGTAATAATATTTCGCAAAAGCGAAGAAAAACACTCGATGGCCCATAATTAGTGGGCCCCTTACATTAAGAAATTAAATAATTAAATAATAAATTACGTAGTGATATTGGGAAATTTATTTAGTGTTTTAAATCAAATTACACTCAATAAAGATGTAATTAAAATTAAAAAAATATATCGATTTAAGATGAGAATTATTGCGCTAAACCGATTTTTGATTAAATAGTTTAATCAGATATTAAAAAATTATTATTATTTTTATTTGGTTATAATTCAAAACTAAATAACTAAAAGAAACTTGAAATTTTTACTAAATTTTTAAATTTTCATTTTTATATGGTTATAATTTTCAAAATATTTTAATTCTTTGAGAGCTTTTGATCTAGACAAATGAAATTTTTGATTATTTTCAGTTTTTTTTTTTTTATAGATAACAGTAAATTATTGATGAATGGGTAAAATTGTTTGAAAATGTAATAAGTACTAGTTTTTTAATAAGCTGTTAATTTCTTGATTAAACAATTGGTCAAAATCTCGAAAAATATAAAATAATTTATAGTTAAAAATGAAAAAAATGTCTGTTTAGGTATACCTAAAATTAGTAAATTTTCTAAAACAATGTTTGTTTTTTTTGCTGTAAATTAAAAAAATTTAATCGTAGATAATTAAAATACTCACAAGATTGTGTACTTTAACAATAAACAAAGATGTTAATTATTTTGTTATTAATCAAAAAAATATTCGTGGGGACTTAAAACTGACGTGTATATTATGCATACTATTATGTATTTTATTATACGCAATGACATTTTTCATTTATTTAAATATATTATCTATTAATACGATGAACCTATTTTTTACTGTTTTACAAGTACATAAAGTTATTTATAGAAATACGTTATTAAATTTTAAGTTACGAGTATTTAAATTCATGTTGTATCTAATATTTGTAAGTATAAAAATAAAATGCTATAAATGCATAGTTTGAAAACAAATAGTCTGATTGAACTAATTTTATTTTTTAAATATTCGTAATAGACTGAATACGATTTTTACGGAAAAAATAAATTGAAAATTAAAAAATTAAGAAAATTTCAAAGTGTTTTTTTTCTTGATGGAATGTTTTTTCAAGCTTGTGGCCAAAACCATATGTATTTAACTGCAATTTTACATAATTGCACGTATAGTGCTAACGATAAAAATAGCTTTTCGAAAATCATACGATGAAATATAATTAGTAATAATATACTGACTAACTGTTTCCACTCAAAATCGTTTTTCATATTATACAATGATATTATATCATTGAATTTAAATTGAACACCTCCATAACAGTGATCCACTCGACATTTAATGTATAGTAGAGTGGTACCTTTTTCAATGAAATTATGAAGATCTCGTGGCCCCCAAGTTAGGCATGCTTTGTATGTGTGGGGGGTCACCACTGCTGATGTGGTTAAGTGATGAAATGTTTAAGGTGTCAATACAAATAGCTTTAAAGAAAAAAAGTAAAAATACTTTCGAGAATATATGAATAAAATAAAATGCTCATATTTTTTTTTTTACTTTTTACTTTTTAGTGCTAAATGTTTGTTGACAAACGTTTTTAATACAAAACATAATGTATTGTTAAAATAAAGAATACTTAAAAAATCTTACCCATGTGGATACATTTTATTTTATTCCATTTGTTTACAATTTCTCAACAAATTGACAATGACTCCAGGCTGTACTTGATTATAGTTTGTATAGGTGCACTTATAGCTTTTGCTCTTGGAGGGTTTCATATAGTGAAAACAATCATTGATACAAAAAACAAAAATAGGAAAAATGTCTAACGCTTTATATTATATATTATTCTGCCAACCGCGATTTCGTGTAAAACCAAACTATTAAACCTATCATTTGAATTGTAAATATAAGACTATAATTGACAATAATTTGACACAGTTTAATTATTGGTAAGAACGGTAACTTTTTTTTTTATATATAAAACGATGACTCTTATATTATTTGATGATATACGAGTAAAATGTAATAATTGGTATTACAGTATTATATTATTAATTATAATTTATAATATTGCAAAAGAAAAATTATTCATGAGTAGCAATAGAAAATTGGTTATTAGTAGAGATATTAATATTTCAAAAGAAAATGTACACGTATAAAGGTAATTTAATAATAATTGAAAGAATATATTATTTTATAATGCGAAATAAAAGTTTTCTGTAAGGCCAAACGTGAATACGTAAACGTAACCATGAAGCATTTCGTAAACACGTGTCTCCGGAATTGATGATTTGCAAAAATGGAACATGAATACCCAATGATTTAAAATGCGTTAAAAGTTCAAACTTTATTTTATTGATTAAAGGGCATAAAAATGATTAAGGGTTATAAAAAATAGCAGATTATTTATTATCTCTACAGTTGCTCATTAGTCATTAATTATCGGGCAGTACTGAGTACTTACTTACAGTTTCATTTTAAATCGTATGATCGCTATATTTTAATGGTCAGTTATGGACTTTCGATGAGTGCACAACGCGCGGACATGATCATAAAAACTCGAATTATATCGATAAAAATGAATGTAAAAAACAATAATATTTAATAAGGATCAATATACAATTATCGTCTACGTCGTCATTTTAATGCCATTTTGTGTAATAAGCAATTTACAATGTAATAGTGTATATTGTATCAATTTTTTTTTTTAAATACAAATTTTCATACATATTATGTATCACACCTACGACCTACGCTTCAAATTGTACAAGTTTCAATATATATATATATAATATGTATATATTATACCGCCATAGTTCTATTTATTTATACAAACGCCTACACAAATGTGTAAGACGTGAGATTACATTATGGCTGCACAAAAATCACCAGCATTTCTAGTTAAACGACTACGATTGGATTATATTATTACGCAATGATATAAAATATATTAAAATGTGACGTGCATTTGGCTAAAAGTATGTAATGTCGTTCGAAATAGCCTCAATTATTTTATTATTATCTGATGTCGTTATATCTCGTCGTTAAACGATTTCTTCACATGAATTCGGCCAAATAAAAATCTATGAGTTAATGGTCAGCCCCTCGGCGATCATTGGCATTTGACCGCAATAATGGTCAAATACTTGACAATAATAACATCTAATATAATGCGTTTTGTTTATTAGAGTAAAATAATATGATAATATAACGCATGATGCGTGGGAATAAGGCAAATTTAATGGTGAGATAAGAGACGTCATTTTTCGTTTGTAATCTGTGTCTCTAAGTTTTTACCGGCACTAGTGTTATTATGGCGTATTATTGAATTACATTTATGAATTAATTTTAAAAATGTTTATAATTTGTATTATTAAAATATCTCATTAATAGTACATTTATTAATTTGTATTGTATATTATCGTTAAATATTTTTTTATTTTACAATAGGGGAGGAGGAGGAGGAGAACACGTCTTAGATTCAGCATCTACAATATATCACCAGTACGACTGTTGAATATTAAAAGTGCACCAATAGTGTGCACGTCCTCTGACTTTCTGACACGATGAATAGGTAATAACAATAACGGTCGGTTTACCTACTGGCTTTTGGTCGATTTATCTATTTAAAAAAAGATAGAGCAAGTTCCGGGGGTAGCCTCATGTAGGTTTCCAGTAAGAAAGAATATAATATACACAGTATTCATCACGAATGTCTATAATAATATAATTAATAATAAAAAATGAAAATAATATATATTATCTGTATAAGGCACCAATATATATATATATATAAAAAGAAAAAAACATAAACATAATGTACAATTGTAAAATACAATTCAATAATAATTTGTTTTTACTTTTAAGACAGACTTGGTCCTAGGATAGGTCTGTTACTTATTACAATTGCAAATTTCCTATAATGATCAAAATAGTTTGATATACAAATTATTATAAAATATGATTATAAATAGTTCAAATTGTACAATAACAAGTTATTAATAATAATTCAATTTTCAAGTACCTATATTAATTCATCGTTACTTTAAATTAATATTTTATGCTTAAATGATGTAAGGCGAATGTTTATGTTCTTGTAATCATTTTTTAAACACTTAAATATTATACAATGTATTTATTATGTAATTCACGAAGAAAAAAACAATATTTTTCAATACCAGCTGCTGCATAAAGAAGGTGTTTCTGCAAATTGCCGTATAATAATATATTAGGTATGTTAATTCTGATGTTCTCATGATTATTTGTAAATAAATGAATACTACCTATGATAAATAATAATAATATATTATATATTATATCCCGTTTTTAGAATAGGAGTTTCATTAAATAGTTATTATTTACTCACATTTTTAATATAACGAGTGTTTTACACAAGCTATATGTAGGCTCATGTCTAGCACGCCATAATTATGTTATACTGCTTATAGTGACGCTGACAATTCATTTTGGTGTGAATACTTTTGTGGTTTCTTTGAAATTGATAGAATAAAAATAAAACACAATAATTATACTTTTAAATTGCAAATTGATCAGTTTTCTATTGTAATGAATAATTTTTGCGTGAATAAGTTAAAAACAATGTAACGAATAAGGGACAATAATTTGCACTTCTACACGAGCAATAGCCACACATACATAATAATATATTATTATTCGATACACCTTCAGGAGGTCTATTTTTATGTATTTTTATTTAGTTTTTATAACAATAAACAAACACGTTAAGAAATTAGCCTTTTTTTCATTTAAATTGAGATGATCAAACGTACTTGCGTTGTTTAGCTTTTACAGTCATACGTACAATTGTTTGCACTTTAAAATAATTTAAATATAATTGTATTTATATATTTTTTGTTGAAAAAAATTGGTTAGGTATTATGGTTTTAAGTTTTTACTATATCTAATAAGTATTTACAGCTATAAAGAGAACGCCTAAGTCCTAAGCTCATTAAATATTAATCAAAGATTAAAACAAAAAAAAAAAATAAAAATGTTTAATCTTTCATGAGGTAAATTGTTATAAACACTTTCATACATTAGACGTTTCTTACGTCGTTAGTTATTACTAACCATAACGAATTCCGTATCAGAAGACTTACATACAAAAATGATAAACTATATATACTAGATTATAAATGTATAAGTATAAAGAGTCATAAATTCAATCGGGTGCGTAATGATATAAATGGGGAAGAATAATAATTATTTTGACTACCTATACCAATTTACTTATATTAACAAGTATTAAGCCATGCACTAGATTGCATTTTTTATTAAATTTAAATTGTTATCATTATATCTGCTAAGAAAATCTATAGGAAATGTATTTTACCTTAAAGCGATGTGACTATTATTTTTCTACATACAGTCAAAGCATATAAAAAATGAAGTAATAATATACCTACATGATAATATGATTTAATAATGTAAGTATAAGTAAATATTTCTCGTACGTTCTTGTAATCATATATGTAATTTACGCCTCAATAAATATCTAATTGGCGGGAGGAGGGATAAACGCTTATTGATTAAGTCATGCGTATAGACAAGGGAGGGAAAACTTGATATTGGATTATGTAACGTCTAATGTTTAGTAATAATTTATGAATATTATGATAAAAATAAGAAAATATGAAAATATGATTGTTTAATTGTTGTTTGTTAGCACTTATACCTCGCCCATTATTATTTACTTAATACTTAAGTTATAAAATATTAAATAATATAAATATCACATAAACACGGTAGAATGGTTTAAGCTCCTGTCTAGGCCCAGATCACTAACCCCGTTGACTACGCTACTGTCATCAGCCATCGGTGATTCAAAACTATTTGAAATATTCAGGTTATAATTTTATGAGAGCATCCTTGCAACCACCTTATCACTTTTGATACTCACCTCCAAAATTCAGACCGTCTTATACCTACTAGTGTAAGAAATTCAAAAATATTCGTAAAGCAATTAAATTATTTACAATAGTATATTAGATTTTAAACTTTGCATGTACCTATAATCTATATTAATGTAAAGTTGATATATCGTGTCTTAACACTGTCGATCATCAAAACAAAAAAGAGACAATCCGTATATCCAGAATTATTAAATGTATAATTTTTGTATGAATTATAATTATGAAAATATGTAGATACATTTATATTTTAATTAAATTATGCGTTAGTCGGTTTTGTAATTTCATCACGATTTCAACAAGCATTTATATTATAAAATTTACTTCAAAAGACATTTCGTTTTTGCAAAATACAATACCTAAAGCGAATACATAATTGCGAATAATCACTACTTTAATGTCTAAAAATTATTTAAGATTCAATTGAGTGCTATTTTTTACAGGTTAATATTTTATACTGTGATTTATATCGTAGGTAGTAAAAATATTTAAAAAAAAAAAAAAAAAAAATTCCCACTAGTAGTTATGCGTTCGTTTTAGCTCATAACAATAGACGTATAAAAAATTATATTTTAAGACGATATCGTGACAATTTCAAGGTCTATGAAGTTAGTAGTCTACATTTAAAATTGTTGATTCAAGTTTTATCAATAATTATAATACGTTACTTGTTAGTATTTATAACCATAAATAGTTAATTTGTAAGTTCGGTTATTTATTACTTGTCTGCAAAAATTTGAATCGGAGCTAACTTTTTCGAGAACAGATCAATTTTTTGTTTTTTAAAGTTGTGGGATATGCTAAAATATTACACGAACTTTTAAAGTATTTATAGGCACAAATTAAAATTGTGTAAGCTATTTATTCTTTGATTACACAGATAGTAATAATGATTCATAGAGCTTTTAAATCTACGACAAGCGTGTAAAAGTTTAATGAGCTGTATGAAGCTTGACATAGTATAATTACTATCACTACTGAAAATCAATCTTTTTACAGTAATTTATCGTTAAATTTAAATACTAACACATCCATGGTAGGTAATGGTTGAATGCCCTATACAATAACGATCGAGGTACATATGAAAGTTCACATACCTACTCATACGTACATACAGCAAGATTATTTAGGTATACTTGTTTAAGCACTTGAGTCTGTGGTCCTGAGTTTCACTAACAGATACGATTGAAATCGTAATTACAACTAAAAATAATTAACAGATACAGTTATTTATATTTTTTTTAATAAAAATTATAGTTTAGTGAATTTTAAATACTTAGTTTAGTTAAAAAGTCACTTTTTTAAAGAAGAAGTGAACATTGCATATTTAAAAAAAAATAAATCCTAATCACAATTCACTATAGTTGTGCTTATGTACCTGTGTAAATATAGACTAATCACACGCAGTACCTACCTAAGTAAACTAGGATATCAGGTTTTCGGTTCACTGAAACATTGTGAACACGATATCGTCCAGTTTTTTGTAAATTTGTTGAAAATTATTCAGTGTACAGCAAAAGACCATACATCGTTTTCTTTTTTTAGACCTATTAGACCTCAAAATTTTTCCGTTATCGCTATTTTCAAACTTGTCTGGACATATTATGTCACCATAATATATTTGCAGGCATGGATCCAAAGCAAAGATCTGGGGAAGAGCAAACAATTTTTTTATAGGTACTTAGTTCATAATTTAAAATTTTTTTCGTAATAATAGTTATATAGGTAATCAATTAATTAATTAATGATTATTCAATATTAAATAATATTTATAAATTAAATAATAAAATCTAAACGTCTACCTACCTATTTATATTTTCGATTTTTCCAATATATATCCACTTTGTATAATATTATAATATATTATCAGACGTATATGTAATTTCAAATATATAGTAATATCAAGATCTATAGAATTATAAAAAAAAAATTGAGGAATAATATGTCTAAGACTCTAGACCCCCTGGATCCCTCCCTGCAACAGTGCCACATAAGTAGATTGAATTTGTTATCTTAATCTTCTCGTAAGGATTATTGAGATTAATGAATACAATGTTCTCTCCCGTGTTCAAGTTATACCTAGTAAAGCTTCTATATATATATAACGGAACGGGTATTTTAATTTTAGTGACCAGGTAAATTGGCGTCAAATCGCCCTCGCAGTCAGGAAGCATGCACGACATTTACGGACCAATAACAATGATAATGCGTTCGTTCAGTTTTTTTTCCGTTCAACTAGTTTTGGATTTCGTCTTCCACGTTGCGCCGAACACTCGAGTTAAGCCCCCTCCCATTGTGGTATCATGTTTTCATTATAAGACCTAAACATGTTATATACCTAATGTAGATAAGTACAAAAAAACATATATGATTAATAAGATGCACAATAAATTGTTTAATAATTTATCTAGGTACTTGAATTTGAAATTAGTTAATAATTAATTTAGGTGTACAATGTCAAATCTACCAGAGCGATATAGCCAAAGTAATTAAAATTTTTTTTACAAAAGAAAAATCTAAAATATTTAATAATATATAGTGTATACATTGCACAGGTACGTAGGTATAAGCAACTGGTTTGTTGGAAATAAATTAAAAAAAAAATAAATATTAAATCGATGAATTTCATTGGTAGGTAACCAATTTGATATTTTTAAAAACAAAATGGATTCTATACATGAAATTAGTTTAAAAAAAGCTTAAAAGCTGAAAATAAAAATACACAACTACACTATCCTATACAAGTCTTTTAAATATTAGATCGGTTGATTAGGCAAGTTTTTGCAAGAGTAGTTTGACAGGATTTTTTTATCTTTTCCATATTTTTACGCACTGATATATTTACTTACACACATTATTGAAATTAAAAGTTAATAAGCTGGAACAATTATTCAACTTGTATAATACATTTTTTAGCGAATGTTGATGGGTTTGAGTCATTTTATTCCGTCGTATATCAGATTATATTCTCTTAAAATATTTCTCTGTCACCATATTCCAAGAAGTTATTTCAACCATATGATGTTTCCTGTCTAAAAAATGTTATAAAAAAAATAAATAAATAAATAAATACCAATATACCTACCTTAAACAATTATAATTTATTAGAATATAAACACAAGTGTTAATTAAAAATGTCAGCGAGTCAATTTAGTGCACAACTTGCAGTTGAAGTTGGAATGGTCGTGAATATATCAAAATGGATCAATGCCTTATTTTACCAAAAATTGTATTAAATATTTATTCTTCAACTTGTAGATATTCGATTTCATAAAAATCATAAATATTGTTTCGTAAAAAATTTGACGTATTGCTAACAATTATTTTCTTTTATAAATATTTAGTATGTAGAATTTCACATGCTTTTGGTTTAGACATTGAAATCAAAAATAAGAAGAGCGAGGCTAAAAAAACATCATGTCCTATCTCACACATATTAAAAAAAATTTTCCCGATTATTTTGAATAGTTTTTCATAGGTCATTCAAATACGAATAATAGTAGATACTTGACACTAATTTTTATCAAAATAAATGTTAATATCAGAATTTTATAAACAAAATTCATTTTTAATTTTTTGAAAAAAAAAAAACGCTACGTCAAATACTATGAAAGTTAAATACACATGATTTATTCACATGTCAATTAGAAATTACAGAAAAAACAGAGTTATAATAAATTATTGGGGCGCAATACAAAAATAATATATTTGGCGTGTCGTACGTGTAGTTTATGAATGATTATAATAGACATATAAAATGGAATTTCAAAAATAAAAAAAGACGCGTTTCTTTGTTTTTGAATGGCAATTTTTTGAAACCGTAACAACTATACTTCTTAATGAATTTTGATAGATTTTTTTCTGAAAATATTGATGTCAAAATTATTAATTTAGATTAATTAGTTTGTTGTCTACAGCACTCTAAGTTTAGCGAAATCGTGAAAGCTTTAATTAAAATAAACTTCCTTAAAATTAAAACCAAATAATTTTTTTTTTTTAGCTGTTCTTAATACAATTTAATATCTTTATATAGTCTTAAATCAGCCACCTAATGACACAAATACAGACTCATAAAATTAATTTAATTTGATAAATTAATAATTTATGAGAAGCCATGTAATACATTTACAGTTGTTATTACTCAGCAAATAATATTTTATCAATATTTAAAAGAAACTTTAAATGTCTATAAATAACTCAAAGTGAAATCATTTTCAAAAAAATACAAGTATTTATATTTACTTGTTTTTGAATTATTATAAACAATAAGAAACAAAAATTGTTAGAGGATAAATAGTGATTGTTTCTTTGCATAAGTACCTTTAGGGATTTAGGATGTTCAACCTTCTTCACATCTTAATTTTCAAATCCAAATATATAATATATTAACGTAACTCTTTCAATTGGAAATTTCAGTATTCTAACTACTGCTAAAATATCATATTTTTTATTCTAGATTAAGAATCAGTTTTAGTTAATTTAACAACCTGACAAAATATAGTTATCTATTGTGAAAAAAAAAAAATGTTGGAACATAACAGTTAACAGAAGACAAAAGTGATACATTTAATTAGACATGTCTATTGTTATTATTAGCTTCATATCCAAAATGTATTAGCTTAGGAAAATCCAATTAGCACAATGTATTGTAGATTTAGTTTATTAATTACACTTTACATGTAAAATATAAAAAAAAGGAATTAGTTAAACTTAGGCAAAATACATTTATTAAAGAAATAATACAGTAGGCACTAAAATGCAGTTCTTGATCAATTTAATTTATAAATGTATAGGTGTATAAATAATACATGACGGTAGGTACAAAAAAGGGTGATTAAATTATAAGTATTTAATTTGTTTAACCCTAAATGTACACTTTAATTAATACAACTTAACAAATAAGATGTATAGCTTATATAAGACATAATATGATAAAATTAATAAAAAAATTCTTAGTTTAAAACTAAAATTAGCTTAAGTTTTCAGTCGTTTGTAAGCACAGATATGCGCATCAACAACATTATTTTCAAATGGAATGTTTTTTCTTTTTTTGTTTAAATATAATATAAATAAAATGTTTGTCTATCATTTACAAAGTTTTCAAAATAATAAAGTACATATCACAAATGGCAACAATACAAAATAATAATTCATACAAACTAACAAATATTTTTAGAGGAAAAAAAAATTAATTTTAATGAACTTACTACATACCTTCTAAAATCAGGATAAAATAAAATACATTCTTATAGTATATAAATAAAAAATAATAATATAGTTATTTGTTGAGGATACAAACACAAAAAAAAAAAAAAAATCAACAAAATCTTTGATTTAACGAAGTAATAATCTACAATAATGATAATAAAACTAATTTAATTTTGTAAATATTAACACGTGGGTATCTCCTAAATTTTTTATGTAGTATAGTTGAATGTTGTAATAATAATATTTTATCAAGTATTACAGTGTTCAAGCAAAAAGTATGGTAGTAAAATATAAACTATGATTAAAATAATATGGAATGGATTTAAAAATATTTTGATTTTTAAACATAATATTTTACGGTTATCTCTTAGTAAATTGAATTCTGTATGCCAATCTGTGCATAATAATTAACCCTGATTGATTTTTCATATATTTACAAATAAGTACAATGCATTTAAAAAGTTGACAGTTCAAAATGATCCAATGGCAGTATACAAATATTATTAAAACATTTAAGTATCTAAAAAAATAAACATCGATCGCCAATAACACAGTTGCGTAACATTTATGAATCAAATTTATTGAAACCGCGTTCAAGGGGGAAAAAACCCTTTCCCCGGAAAATTAAAAAAAAAAAAAAAATGAGAATTTCATGAAATTCTATAGAAAAATATGCAAGTAATTATTGGGAAGCGATTTAACTTAAATTATAAACATTGCGTAAGCGAAACAAATTTTATACATAGTTTAATGTTGACGCCTACAAAGATTTGTGATTTTGTTACAAAAAAAAAAAAAAAAATGAAAATAATATAATTAGACTAAAGCAGTCTGTTTTTGAGATCACGAATCAATTTTTTGAATTCATATACAAAAATTTGACTTCGTTACTGTCAATAATACACAAAACAATTAATAGTTGAAATGAAAATAAAAATATTTTTAATAAATATTGTTATTAGATAATCGTCATTAGAGTACACAGTCAACTCTCTGTACAAATGATTCGTTTTTAATATTTAATGTAGTCGGTAGTAAAAGTCTAGGTATGTACTCGCTATATAACCTTACAGATAACATATGCACCGGTAACTGATTATTTAGAGCGAATTTCAAATGAGTGTTAGCACCACGACTCGGGATGAGTATTACGGTACGTTTCACTTTCTTCATCGCTTGGATCTTCTCCGTACATGTCCGCCAGTTTGCGGAATCGTGGTCCAAAGTTAGAAAGGTAATCAAAGTTTAAGTCCCCATCGTCCGTACCTGTAAACGCATCATAGTGAGTAAATAAAATTAAATATTGAAAGAACAAAAATTCTTTTGAATGATAAAAAAATCAAACTAACCTGAAGCTAATGATGAAAGTGATCCAACTGAATTGCCTTCTCCTTCATACATATAATTACGGACGTCGTCATATGGACCTAAATCTGGATCGTTATCTACAGAGTTCAACTTGTCGCCAAGGAAGCCACAAATATCAGGAACTTCATCTGGAGCTGAAAAGTAAAATAGTTATGATGAATATTAAATATCATAAATAACAGTATATGAAGAGTATAAAATATTATGATACTGTATACAACGAAAATTATGTTGAAAATCAAAATTATTGTTCGTAAAATGCAAAAATATATTAGAATTAGAGGATTGTTCTATTAGTACTTATTTGAATCATTTACTAGTGAAGCATTAACTACTCTAGTAATTAAATATTTAGAGACATTAAAGCATATTATGCACATGAAAACTTCAACAGTTAGGTTTATGCAGTTTAAATATTAAAATGAGTATATTAGCGGTTTAGCGTAAAATTAATAAATGTATAATTTTGAAGTTAATTCTAAGCATATAAATTATCTTTTGAACAAAGAGATAAATTGGTTTTACAATGCATTTTTAATTTAAGTATTTATGTTTACGGATTGAACAAGTAATGTTAATCCTAGCGTTATTTTTGCACAAACATAATTTTCCAATTTCAATGTATTACTATTAAACATGAATATCACAAAGGCATACCACGTTTTTGTAATAGATTTCCAGCATCATCAAATCCTTGTACAGGTTCCGAGCCATCGTACATAAGCCGCAAAACGTTCAAATCATAGCCGGTCATATCTCCTTCGCCGCCACCTTCATCTTCGTAGTTAATTATGTTTTCTCTAATATCATCAGTGTCTTTGTACAAATCATCAGACTTTCTTCTATGTACCACTACTGCTAACAGCAATACTAAACGAGTACAAAGTTTTATTATTTTAGTAATGTCGAAGATTAGTGTTTTTGATGAGTATAAACTTACTCAATAAGACAGCTAGGCACACAAAAATAGCTATCAGGAAGCTAGCGTCAATACCAAATGACACAGCGACTGCTGTACCGTGGGTACATGAAAAATCAACATTGCGAGACATACTAGGGGCGCCCAAGTTGTATAGATGGCCGTTGAAAGTTAAATTACGTATACAACCATTGAATCCGTTGGAAAACGGTTTATGGGTCCAATTCCGCGTGGATGCTATTGCTCTTAGGTCGACAAACGATCCACCGAGCTGTAATGGTCCATTGACGTTCAAATACTCGTTAATTCCTATTGGAGGGCTAAGGCTCAAGCAAGACGGAAGATTGCAGCTGTCTACTTTCATTTCAATGCTCTGAAATGGATCAACAATTATAGTTTGTGATAAAAATAAATAATTATGTTAGTATAATAATGAATTATAAGTACAGTTTTAGTCCAAATAATCTCTATGCGATGTGGTTCTCCGTCAGAAATTTTGATTTGTTTTTGTCCTATTTTTAGTGTTCCCGAACCATAGTCTACCAAAAGTACGGGAAAACCGTCTTTGAGCTCCAGTGACATGAAATCTATAAGGATATAATCATGTTTAATAAAAGACATTTTGAGTTGACTTGATTAGTTCCAAATACCTTGAACAGACAGTGGAGAAGGTTTAACACTGCTGGGCCCGGCATAAAACAACAGACCATTGTCAGCAGAGGTGCGTACTTCCAGTGACATGTGAGACTCCATGCACGATTGTAGGGACGGATATAAGGCATAACCATCGCCGTAAAAACCAATGCTGAGGATTTCACATCGAGGTCCTTCAAAACCAGCCGGACACTGACATCCAGAGCTTAAAAGTATAGAAAAAAAAAAAAAAAAAAAAAAGGTATCACCAACCGAACTATTTAAATACAAATGTAAATCGTATGTGAAAAACTTACCCATCCGATGTTGGACTACCACCGTTGTGACACGTGATTTTAGTAGTAGCTCTCTGTTCACACTGGCAAAATGGATCTATCACGGCTCGTATCCCGACAAAAGAAGTGGTATTTGTATAAACAGCAGCTGGTTCGTTGCTTTTATTTAAGAAATTCGTACAGGATGATTCACAATAGAGTTTCTCGACGAGACATTCATCAATATTGACCATGAGGAAAGTGACGCCCAACTCTTTTTCGAGCTATAAAACATATTACAAAAACAACAATCACGTAATAAGCCCAAATAAATAGGTAAAACAATTTATGATCCTTACCTCTGCTTGGTGTTTATCGATAGCAGCATTGATTCTCTCAGGTTGATAATACGGGGAACCGTGAGCGGAAAAACGAACATCCAGTTGTGTGGTATTGGGGTTGTGAGGGGAATGTAGAATAGTGAACACGTCGACATTTTCAACGGTGGCGTTTAAAATCGAAGCCAACCGTTTTTTTAAAATAGTCGCCTTACTCACGTTGTCCTAAATTAACGTAAAAAAGTAACATAGAAATATTATAAATTGCTTAGATGGATAACGATAATGGGTTTTACTAAAACCATACATACCGGACCGGGGGTAATAAACTCTTCAGCTGAAATTCCCGCTAATCTAACTGATCCCGACTTATCAACAGCTTCTTCGGGTATTTCTTTAACAGTGACAACGACAGTTGAATTCACCGTGTGTTTGGCAATCTTTGTTCCCTGTTCCGTGATTTCAAACTCTAGGACAAAAGTCTGTTCTTTGGTGTTTTGAAGCATGGTGATCATTCCAGTTTCTGATTTAAGGTCGAAACGTTCGTGTGGCCCATGCAACCACTTGAACTTTTTGTCGGGCAAGTCCCAGTCGTCCAAGTCGTCAACGTAGACACGTCCAATTTCCATGTCTGGAGATTCGCCTTTATATGTGTACACAAATATAGAGCTCCTACCAGGCTTCATGGGATTGTCATTCTCATCGCCAATTACTACTTGGAGAGTACTTGTCCCAGTCAAACTAGGTATTCCACTATCAGTTATTGTAATAGGTATATTATAGAATTTTTTCTCTTCACGATCAAACGTGGTTAGTGCCTGAAGTTCAACCCCTGAAAATGATATAGAGCACGTTAGTAAAATTTTAAAAAAGGTTAATTTATTAACCTATATATTAACAAACCGGAAATTCCAAATTTTGTTTTGATTTCATAGGAGGCATCAGATGAGATGAAAAATTCAAATGGTGCACCGTTTTCAGGCCCATCATTGTCTTTGGCGGATAATCGTGTTATTGTTCCGGATAATTGATTCTCACGCCAAACAACAGGTTGAGGCTGAAAACAACAACAAATAAATGAATTACAAAAACTGGTTACTTATCATAACTAAGCGGTATTTTACAAAAATTTTATTTTTTTAATTAATAAATGTAATATATTTTTTAAGTTATAGTATGATATCTTTTATGAAATAATTCAATCAAAGGTTCCATTCATGGACTATCGAGATCAATTTTACTTTATTGCCAGGTAAACCGATCAATCGGTCTTAAAAGTGTACCACAAAACTAATTAAAATAAATTTAATAAAATAAAAAATGGTATTTATTTTGAGTGCATAACGCGCAGTCATCTTAAACAAGAAAAACAAATATACTCAATTCAATTATTATTATAATTATTATTGATAACTTACCATGTCTAAATACGGTGCATTGTCGTTGATGTCTCTGAGTGCAATGATCACTTCTGTGGTCTGTTGCAAGCTCTTTGGGCCACCACCTTCGTCGCTTGCTTGTATGATCACTTGCCACGTAGCATAACCGTTTGGTGGATCGCGGTCGAGGGGTTTTATGAGCGATAAACATCCGTTTTTGTTGATGGTCATTAACTTCCGTTGATCGTCCTTCACCACAGAGTAAACGATACGCTGGTCCATAGATCGGTCCTGAATATCCGGATCGTATGCTTCCAACTACAGGAGGGGGGAACAGATATTTTAGACGTCGCGAAAAAATTCTACTCAAACAAAATGCGCGCGCACACACGAAATACTATTTCGAAATCGCTTACCGTTGTAATGCAGCCCGGTACGAGTTCCTCTTCCGTGATCGTTATGTTCCCTTCGTACGGTTGGAATACTGGCGGGTTGTCGTTGACGTTGGATATTTTTATCTCGACGGTGCAATAGTCCTCGTACGCTCCGTCGAACGCTCTCACTTTCAACACATACTGTGGGATTTCATACGATAAACATAATTATAGTTATTGCACAGACTTTGGCAAAAACAACGCTTGTGCGATAATAAGTGGGCGGCACTCACGTCGGTGATGTTTTCGTAATCCAGCTGACTGTTGACTTTGATTTTTCCGGTTGTGTTTTCGATCAGGAACGCGTTGTAGATGTTGCCGTCCACGATGCTGTACGTGACCGGGGACGCGGTGTCGTCGTCCAGGGCCTTCACTTCCGTGACCAGAGCGTTCAAGTTGGCGTCTTCCGGTATCTCTTCCGCTTCGTAGACCGACTGGGTGAAATGAGGGGGATGGTCGTTTTTGTCGGCGATTTCGATCCGGAACACTTGCTCGCCTGCACAACGACATTTATACACATATAAATAAACGTACAACACCGCTATGAATATAGTCGTGGAGCTTAAGTAACGGCGTGGGCGTGACGGTAAGATTTGTTTATTTGGTCGAACGTCTGCGAGGAGGGTTGATAATTATTGTTTTAATATTACGAGTCTACGTTTATAACAGTTAAATTCAGCCAGTGGCCTTAATTAGAAATTCGTTTCAGGGAGGGATTATATCTGCATTGTTTTTCTACGAACATATTATTATCATACATTCGCGACCCTATTTCATCATTTAGTTTGGGCATCCAAATAGTTTAAAATACAACATTCACAGTATGCAAAACTAGCGTATGGTATAATGTAAGTTATAATCTAGTTGTTATTTTATTTATTTTTTTTAAAGACTCTTCAAAAAACTTTAATTTTTTCCGACAAATGTAGTTATAAAATAAACACGATAATTTCTGTGTTTCTCTAACTATAAAAACAATACGATAATAGGCGAATGATTTATTTTTAAACCAGTCAATTTGTTATTGTTTACTTCAATTATTGTAAAGGATATAACTTTGGAAACTTTAAGTCAAAATATTAGGAGGTGTCTTTGTACTTTGTTAGGTAGTTACCAATATTATTATCGACCAGAACCTAGTCACCTACAACCCCGTTACCGGCAGTTTATTACATAGGTACTTGGTTAGCATTCTATCGAAAGACAAACGTCTTCCTTCGCGCCCTAGTGTACTCACCCTTGTTGTGTTCACCAGTCGAGTACAGGGCCGACGGCGCGTTGTCCGTAGCGATCACCTTTACATTGTACACGTCCTGTTTCTCACGGTCAAACATCACTAACGTGGTAATGTTACCGGTGTAAGGGTCAATGGCGAAGTACTCGCGGTTGTCGGCCAACTCATACGTGACGCGGTTGTTGGCCATGCTTGAGTCAGCGTCGATCGCTCGGACCTGCATTACGGCTGTGCCGGCCGGTTCGTTCTCCAGCACGGAACCGGATACGACTTCGGTGAACACCGGTATGTTGTCGTTAACGTCTTCCACTTGGATATTCAACTGGTGTTCTGCTGCCAGGTTGTGTTTGTTCTGTTTACACACACAAAAAAAAAGCACATGTATTATGTGTGTACACCTCGTACAATAATTTATAGCGTTTATCTATATTAGCTCTAAGCGGACGACGTTTGTCGACTTTCAGATTTAATCAAGAAATGAATTTTATAAGAATTGTAGAAAACATAATAATATGTACATGCTTGGCTTTGCGCAGTAAACGTCCACCTTTAGACAGGTCTTTTAGCGGGAGTCTTGAAAAAAAAAGTTATCAATTTTTGAATTTTGTATAATTTTATTAAATTATCTGACTATGAAAAATGAAAAACCCATTACAGTCTACACAGAAATGAGACTTACTTTAATTTATTTTTTTACCCACTCACTACCATAATATTATGTATTCATAACATGATTAGAAGTTCCAAACTTTTATTATAAACCATGGGTCAGGTATCCGGGAAATGGCACATATAATTTTTCAATAAAACGCAATATAATTGTTTCTTATAGTTATGTAAAAGAACAGATTGTATAGGTCTTGCATTATTTTTTTTTAATGAAACGATAAAAAAAAAGTTAATATTAGTTTTCGGGTTATTTTTCAATCTGAAATAATAGCCGGTGGTTTACGGGGCAATTTAATTTAAGACGATAATATTTTTAAAGTGAAATTATAAATTTTAATTAACAATAGTCGGTAATTAAAATAGTTGAGGTTCAGCACAAAGACAAATGAGACTCCGGAATGTATACCCGCATAATGTATTTGTTTCAATCTTACTAACGTTACAACTCATTAAATGTACGTTCTAAAAAAGTTCATTTTTTGTTGTTTGCTTAAATATTATAGTGAATTAGTTTATAATTATTAAATTTAAAGTAAACATAATTTATATAATGTTGGAATCTTTACAAGCTTTTAATAGTTTTTGCTTTTAATTTTTTATAACATGTCAATTAACCCTTCAATTTAAAATTAACGTTACAGGATTTTGTAGAACACAAATTTGTTATGTCGTAGGGTTATAAAACTGAGACAGACAACAAATAGATGTGATGTGTGAAACGTCTTCATAAAATATTTCGAAGACAGCAGTCAGGGCTGTAGTATAATACACCCATACATTAAAATCTTTTGTTGTATATTATTCTTACAATAATATACTACACACTCACGGATTGTCTTGACAGTTGTCGGGTATATTTACACTAATATTATAATATAACGTATATAATATTATATGCGGCGGAATATAATATTATGTAAATAACACAACATTTTACCTGTATTCGAATGTTAAGAATATACTCGGATATCGATTCGTAGTCCATATGTCTCGACAATCTGATATGAGCGGTGTTTCCTTCGGATTCCAATCGGAAAGTGTTCAATTTGTTTGATTGTTCCGTCCGGCCTGGCACCAATTCGAAAACCGGAGATTTTTCATCCGTGTTCGATCTACATAATACATGTTTAAAGAGGCCGGGCCAAACCCGATAATAAATTATAACAGTGTTTTGCAAGCGCGGGAATTGTTTTTTGGGAGTTGGCGGTTTATATAGTTATAAATTATTGCAGGGGTGTGAAACACCACAACTTACGCCGCGATGATGGTGGCGATGTCAAAACTGAAATTAGTCAGGTTTTCCGGCAGATAGATGGTTTCATCGGGCTGGACGGATATGAACGTCGGTGCTTTTTTGTGTGATTCGACCACTAAGATCTCTAGATCCATTGTAGCCGACTTTGGAACCACGCCTTGATCGGTGGCAGTAGCTCGCATTTTGAACTTATAGCCGGGATCTCGCTAATAAAAAAAAAAAAAAAAAATTATAATAATTTATACATTGGTTTTAAGGGGAAAAATTAATTTATATAAAATATAATCGATTTAATTACGATATATACATACATCGATTGTGCGATCTAAGTAAATGACGCCTGTGTTTTGATCGATACGGAAATAATTCGAGTCCTGCGGCATTCTGGGCGACAGATCGTATTGTATAGCACTGTTTATACCGTCGTCAATATCCGTGGCCGATATTCTCATCACTTCGCTTTTGGACAGTAAGTCTTGGGGTACAGATTCAACGTAGTTCTTAAAAAATAAAATAAAATAATAAACATCTGCACATAAATTACAACTGTTACAATCGCTTAAAAGCAATACGAATTGATAATACAAAAATATCATAAAAACAAAATAACATGCGGCATGCATTTCAAACGTTTTTTTTTCTTACATAATTTTGTGTTAAATGACGACTTGTTAAGTTATATAAAAAAAAAGTCAATTTTGAACAATCGAAACGATAAGAAATAAAATGTTTTCATGAAAAAAAAAAGAAAAGACAAACACATACATATAAAACATATATATATATATATATAATATAATATAATATAATATAATATAATAAATAACAAAAGTCCGTCTGAACGGAATTCATGCGAATAAAAATAACAAAACACGTCGAATTAATACATCATAAAATAAATATGTATCAAATTCGGCGGGACACATGCAGAAACACACGTTGTACCTTGTAGTTGAATCCTCGATAGACCTGGATTCGATATAATATGTACACAACACAGGTAATAAGTAAAAAACAGTAAAAATAGTAGCGATAACAATATTATTATATCGTGTTGACAATTTCGTTTGTATGCAATAAAGATGCAGTTAGTGGACTGCAACCGGACGGTATTAATGCAGATGCGCATACGGTTTGTGGTTGCGGCGAGTGACGAGCGGACGGTCAGAGAGTTGTTACGTTTATCGTGCCAATTACACCGCACCACCCGTCGCACGATCGCAGAGGAATGTATACAACCACACGATATCACATGATTATATACGAATAATAAACTCACCACTTTGTCAAAAACTGGCGAGTTGTCGTTCTCGTCCTGGATGGTCACTTTGATAGTGCACACGTCGTCCAGATGCGGTTTTCCGTTATCTGTGGCCCTCACCGACAGGTACACTTCTTTTTCGCGGGTCGGTTCGTCCCGGTCGAACATCTGCGAACAGTAACAAACGGCGAAGAGGTATTAGATTTAGGAACCGGCTCGGCGATAACACGACCAATCTCTCTCGCAACAGACGATCACTTAGCGATTTTCTACGTTCCTTTTATGTTTTTTTAAAAGAATTTTTTTTTTTTTTTTTTGTGAGACAACCAAAAACATTTTAAATGATTAAACTTACGCGTGGATGTGTTTAAAATTATTTGTGTTTATTATTATCATGATTTCATTCAGGCATGACTACATATCCCACGTTAGGTTTAAAATCGATTTATTATTGTTTGATAATTATAAAATACCCCTTTACAAATTAGTTTAATTATAAATAAACGACCATCCCAAGTCTTCCCATATTCCCGTCCTCTATTATCGCAGCGCTGTAGATCTCCAGAACGGGAATAGCGCGTGTATATATTGGGGTATTTATAGTTTAGTTGGAACGGAGATGGAATTTTAAAAATTAAACCACTTCTTTTCCCCTACATCTCTCTCTATAAACAAACGTTGACAGTACACCACCGATCGTCTGTATATAAACACATAATGCTAATGTTATACTTACGTGTCGGGTGGTAATCTCTCCAGTCTGCGCATCAATGGAAAACTTTGGACGTTCGCCGGGCGCGCTGACAAATGTGTACGTGATTGTACCTCCATTGTCCGGTGGGTCCTTGTCGAACGCTTTGACCTGACAATGATAAGACACGTGTGAGATTTATCGGAGCGTAAACGTACATTGTTATTATTATCGTCGACATCATCATCATCATGGTTATTATTTTAGTAAACTGTTTTTTTTTTTTTTTTTATTTTACGGTCTATGCCGATTTTTGGAGATTATTATCAATATAATTCGTGAGAATAATCATTGTACAAGCATAACTCATTGGGAAGGGCGTATCAAACAAAATGGTTACCTAATCGAAATCGATTTGGGTATAATATAATATATTGTTATTATTATATATAAGTGTACACTCGATAAGGACGGAAAAATTAAATATATTTTTTTATATACATATATATAATACAGTGTATATTTTGCAAATTTTAAATGCACGCTTGAGCGCACATGAGTTTCAACTTTTTAAAGTTAAAGTTAAGTTAATTTTTGAACTTTATTGATTTTTAGCAATAATGCATATTGCATATATTATAATAATAGGTAATTAATAATTTATTTTGATTACCGCTAAATAACGGTTAATGTATATAGTTTATCAACTATGCCGTAGGACAGGGTTTATAACATAGCATTTATATTATAAATATATATATATAATATTTTTCGATTTCACATGGTTTAACAATGTCATATATATATATAATAAATTTAAGTATTGACAGTTACCGGGTTTTCACCGCATTAAGCTGACTTTATGCAACGTACAACAATCGTAGTATGGTATAATATGTACAGTAATTCAATTTAACAATGATTATGATATGTTTACCCACGATGTCGGTCACGAGATGTTTTGAACCTTTTAAATTAATTTGCCGTTATAGTGGTGATAATACATAATAGCAGTAGTGTAGGTCGTAATGGCGGTTGTGTGGTAGTACCTATATAAACCACAACAGACGTTGCGAAATATTTTAAAACCGTTTGTTTAATGTATAAATGGTAGACGTACAGGGTGTCCGTTTAATTATTAACGTAGGATTGTTCTCTATTATTGACATAACTAGTTAATTTTTAATCCTTCACTTTAATATTCTCGTGTGTATCGATATATACACATATGTGTATGTATAAATAAATATGGTTCAAATTACGATTCGTTTTAATTATATATGGATGAACGAAGAGATGAAACGGTGTACATTTTTAGAGTACATTTCTGATTTGTATATATATATTAGTGTCATAATTACAATAGAAAGATTGTTAATAGTATATTAATTACTATAATTTTAACAATATTGAACGAATGGTTTTTTTTTTTCTATGTGTGTCATATTGTAATTATAATAATATTATATTCTAAGGCTATAATGGTAGTTCAATTATTTACCCGCCAGTTAAATTAGTAATCTTTTCAAATTTTCTTACGGTGTGAAAGGACGTCTAGTAAATATAAAATTAATTTAAATTTCAAAAGTGTTGATTATTTTAAATCGTGAACATATATAGTTTTAAGGGGAGTAATTACAAAAATGTACAAAAACAAATTCCTTAAAGGATTTTATTAATTTTGCCTTGTCTGTTCCGAAAAAAATATTTATTTTTAATTAACAATATCAAAATTTAAATACTTACAATAGATTAGGGAACAATGAATTATTGTTGAGACTAAGCGTTGGTTAAGTAAGTGATATTTTAATTATATATAAACATTGTTTCGTTGTAAAAATAATTAGGTTTTTACATAATATAAAAATTATTTTTTAATTTTAAGACATTAGATAAGACACGGAGTAAGTGTTAAGAAGTATTTTAATACGATTACACTGGTAGTGTTCTAGTTCATTAATTGTTTTTAGTATTTCGTAATTTTATTCTTATCCTAGTGTTATTATGTGTTTCAATAATACAATATTATGACAGCGCGGCGTTTTGGATAGGCAATTTAGCTACTATACTACGGTTGTACTATATAGTGAATCATTTTGTGTGTGTGTATCAATTTATTATACGTATGTATATCAAATATTGAAAAATCGAAGACAAGTTTACTCGAAAAGCTAGTAGAATAATTAGTGTGTAGGTATAATAAAGTAAGAACAACATTTTTTTCAGTCATTATTAATATTTTCAGATACAGAGTTGAATGGTTATACTTCAATGAGAATCTGTCTCAACTGTCTTCTATCTTTATTATAATACAACACGATTATGATAGAATTATAACTAATAATAATATGTATAATGGACTCAAGAAAATGAACTCATCTATTAAATTATTATAATGAAGTGGGAATTGGATATTTATTTTTACAACGAATTTAAATCTAAGAGAAACACGTCACGAAAATATCTCGAAAAGTTAATTGTTAATTAATTGCAATGTAATAGACTTTAAAGTCTATAACAATAGGGTTACTTTCTAAAGGTTTAATTGTTATATTTTGAGTAGAGTTATGTAATAATTTACTCGGCAAATATGGTATACCTACACATTTATTATGCAACTGCGACGTCAATACCGGGTTACACACGACACGATTGTATTATATTATACGTTCACAAATTGTTCGGGTAAATATTTTATTCAGTACGGTTTTGTACTTTACAAGTAGTTTTCGAAATTGCAGATGTAGGACGTAAGTATAGCGAGAAAGGGAATTCGATATAATAATGTATATGTTAGTAAGGTAGATCTGATGGGAATGATATGTGCACATAAGTAGTAAGTTGATTAGCCAGTGTAGAGAAATCTGTGGATATAATACTATACAATTGACATAGCGAGGACTTTTAAACAAAAGACTAACCAGAGGCTATCAGTGATATATATATATATGCTATTAGTTGAAATTTCTAATAAGTTTTCATAAATAAAATCATCGTTTGTGTTAGATATGACGATGTTTGCTGTTATCCATTCCAATATATATATATTTGTTTAAATTTTTGATATTTCTCAGCACAGCACTAATGTGAACAAGAAATAAAACCTTATACACCTAAATTATATAATATGCTAAATGTGCGGTTAAAATTTGTGATATTTTATACAATGATAAAATTCGCGCAGTACCCATATCTGCCAAATAAATAAATAAACTAAAAGAAAACGTATTATAAAAAAAACTTACAGTAAATACATAAGTGTTGGTCGGCTGTTCTTCCTTGACGCTAGGCTGATAATTTAAACAATTCGTAAATACAGGCTTGTGGTTGTCCTGCACCGTCAATCCAAGTTTTGGGCCAGATCCTCTGTTGTCCTGGAACTGTAATACGAAAAATAATTATTATATTATAGGATGACGACAAATCATGGAGGAGGGGATATATGCGTTATATTATATAGACGGTTCAGATTTCTAGTGCACTGCGCAGCAGCGAATTAAACCTCAATAGACAACAATACATAGGTAGATACTTGTTTAAACGCGCAATTATATGTTTGCACACACACCACACCCCTCGGCACGTGCTTTTATCGAAAATTTGCTGATATCAATTACACGAATGAGCTTTTGAATATTATGAACACATTGCGTGTAGGACGACCTCGACTGACGATCCGGATGTAGTATCTACTATCTATATATACACAGATAGGTACAGATAGTCGGCTAAATCCATGAGAACGTTCATCATGGCCCAGGCTTACACGTTAAATAATGATATATATATATCATATAATAAACAATGCATGATAAATATTACGAGGACCTTAGTATAGCAAGCGTGTGAAAAATTAATGGAAGGCGGACCGCAACGACGTTCCAAACAGGAGAGCAAAGCGAGTCGAGCGGATAGGATTTGCTACAGGAATCAGTAATCCATGAACTCTTTTATAGATCGATTATTATAATGAGATGTCTGTTTTGGACCTTCAGATACTGATAGACGGAAATTACGTGTAACATACATATTTATTTTTCGACGGATGCGGACAAATCGACAAAAATCTTCGAACACAGCGATTTTCGTCGAATTGTAATTAAATATTCACTAATACCACTGTAATAGTCACGCCGTACGAATTAAAAGTAATAATAACGAATAAATAATAGTAGTGTCCCGAGGTGTGAATAAGAAGCGAAAAAAGTCTTCTAAAGCAATTAGTCATCTGTCGGGAAAGTCGGTGGAAAGAATATTAAAGCGGCCGACTGTCTACCGATTTTAAACGATTTTTAATGAGTGTTTTTTTTTTTTTTTTAATACACTATTATAATATATACCAAGTGCATTTTAAATGTACGACTTGGGTTTAAAAGGGATTTTAAGTCCTAAATGGAATTTTAATGGTTGACCGGTCTTTAAGAATTAATACAATAGACGAAAAATTACACAATAACCGCTTTCGGTTAAAATTTTAAACCGCTATTATGATGTATAACTCTATGTATTTAATTACACACAAAGGTTAATTATTACTATATATTTTCTTCATATTGTATATTATAATAAACAATTCGTATATACTCATTAAATTTAACGTTTTTTTGTAACTCTGGATTTGTATTATTCATTTAAATTTTAAAAATCGTATTTACATGCGGTTTTATAGTTATTAATATTATTGCATGGACGATATTGTTAAATTATATTATAAGAATATTGAAATTGTGAACTATATTCAACCGACATTGACTGTAAAAAAATAATCAATAATTACCACACCCGAGTTCACGATCAAATGTCATAACCTAACCTGGTTTGGTTATGTTAGATCGTATCTGGGAAATCGGATAGCATATTTTCTTTGGAATTTTATTTTGTGACTAACATTAGTTTTGTACACGATACAATATCATATATAGTTTTCTTTTCTCGATATATCGATTGTGAATGACGAATATCGTATCCCTCCCCCCCCTCCCACATACGTTGCACAATAAATATTGATAAATAAATTCCATCAACAATGTTTACACGACGGATATACAACGACGCAGTGTGTATATTTTATATAACAACAAAACTCCAGCGGAGATAGACATTTTGACAGGTTATAAAGCAGCTGATTAAACGAGTAATCCTTGAACCCGCGAGTCAAACGTGCGCGCCGGAAAAAGAACGTAACGAACTGGAACGAACCTCTGCCCGCTCTTATACATATTATATATATATATACATACGCATCCACGCCGAAACGGTGGATGAACTGCTCAGCATCCGATCGATTCCGAATCTTTCTTGATGAATGTTGTACAGACAATACATCATAAACAATAACACATGAAATAACAAGAAGACTACTGTAAGAAAACACGTCTTTGTCAATACATTATGTTATTGTTTCGAAAATGTCCTTAACGCGTGCCGTAAAACATAAAAAAATTCAATGAGACGAACGCCCTTCGATGGCACCACACGTATTATTATCGTAAATCCACCTATTTATTAAGTACGCAGGACGAATCAAATATTGTTCAGACTTTCTAAGCCGAGGGCCAAATTCTGATCCACTTGCAGCTGATCGTGTTATATTGTTATATTCCGTTCATCCAACGGATTTATTTATAGTTTATAATTTTCGACTAAATTGTTTTTTAAAACGCCACGTTGTTATTCGCGAAAAAAAGACGTCATAAAATTATTTATTTTATGGCACGCTATCTTTTGGACTAACGTACGACCGTATACGCTATAAACACGTATCTGAGTAGAATAATAATAATAATAGAAATTCAACACCGATACAAGACATTAAGAAAGCAAGATTATATAACCATCAAGTGAAGGAGCGTTAGGTCGCAGGGATATGGCATTTTTCAGTAGATTTATAAAAGCTATTTGAAAATCATTGCCTTAATGATATCATCGTTAGGAAAAATTGTATAATAGTAGATTACAACATGCTTAACGATCTTTTTACAGTACGTTCACTATAAAATGTTTAGATCATTTAGATCGTAAAGAGTTCTTAAAAATTTATGTTTTGTATTTATCGACTCTGATAAACCGAGTAGAAGATTCTGGTACTAGCTATAAATTAAAAAAAAAAAAAAGTAAAAATAGTAAAATCGTTATTCAAAATACGTAATATTATTAGGCCACTTAAAACGTTGTAAACGTCTGCAGCATCAAATTAAATTATATTACACCGAGTTATACATAGGTGCGATACAGCAGTAGAGATGTCTTTCGAATGTCATGACTCATGACTCATTTAAGGTTTGTATATTACAAGATTGCCGATGAAATGAGCTACATGAGAACTAATGATGTTTAATTTAAATTCTTTTCATGCCGACAGTCGTCGTAATAATGTCGACAATTGTAGTGATTGATTCGATAGGGCGCCAAGCGACACAAAAGCAACAACTTATAATATTAAAACAACAATTGACAAGAAAATACACGAGCGATACAAAAACATTGATAACTCCATAATATGGTACCATTAAAATCGTTTTATTAGTATTCCATCACTTTCGCGAGCGCTCGCGCATAATATTACACTCTTGTTGTCATTTATTATTATTTTAATTAAATCCGTCACCAAACAGGTAGGTACACGAAGGTATGCATTATATTATGCGTGGTGGCGATGAGATTGTAACGTGTTATTATTTTGATTTGGTTTACATAAATTGTGTAACAACGTACAACCACGACGACATATATATATATATAATAACAAAAGTGACACGCAATCATCTGGGTAATTTTCGTAATTAATACGGTCATTTTAGGCTAACAGAATGTACTTAGAGCAAAAAAAAAAAAAAAATTACTAAAAAAATCATAAAATGAATACACCACATCATATTGTGTATTATTATATAGGTATTAAATACATACCTAGATATTATATTGTACAGGGGGGAAACTAAAATAGAAATAGAAAACGGTTTAGTCGGTCACGCGAAAAAAGAAAATACGTATATACCTGTATATGAGACCGTGTATACTGTATAGTGTATATGCGTGCTATATACGCAGTAGATGGGTACTTCTGCCATCATTTGCAGAACACGGATAATCAACTCCTATTTATTTATAAATAAATGTATTTTTTTAATTCCTATTCCGCGAACGCGCTACTACCGCAGACAGTATACGCACATAAAAAGTTTCGGCTTTCACTGTCTGTCTCTCCTCGTCGCCATCTCTATATCCGTCTATATATATTTGTCCACCGCAAATCCTATTATGAACGTAAAACGATATCCGTAAAGCGTGCCACGGCGGTACTGGTGCACGCGCTTTGCAGTAAATCGAATAAGGGAAAAAACTTCTGTTCAACTCGTACGGCACCACGCTGCTGCCGTCATCCGTATACACAGTATTAAACATAAGTATACTATCCGTCCTATAGTATCATATTATATACAAAACAAACCCAAACAGAAAATACACACGCACGCTCGTATAATAAATATATATAATATACACCCGTCTGTCGAGTAAAAAATAAAATAAAAAAAGAAATGATATATTCGCACACAACGGGCGTACTTACGTCCTATATATATATATATTATATATACGATACTGTATTACACTACTCGAAATGCATTCTCACATAGTAATAATAATAATAATAATAATAATAAAAATATATATTTTTACCAATGGAAATGTGTTGAATCGATGGCGAACGAGGAAGATGTGCCGCCTTGGCAATGTTTTTCAATTTAAAAAAGCCACGGTACACATAGTTTTATTATCGTACACTGAAGCTATAATAATGCACATATAATATACTGCAGCAGACCATTATATGCAGAGATAATATCGTCGAAATCGAAACAAATTTATTCGAAATGATACGAATTTTTCGAACGTATAATTAAATATCTGGTACAGTCCCACCACTCTCGTTGGTTATTATATTTTGTAATAATACCTGCTTTTTATATTTCCGACAATATTTTTTATATCGGCGGCCAACGTGTACAAAATTGGTTATGAATTTGTAGAACGATATAATTTTTAAACCATAATTTAGCACGATAGCAGCATGTTACCATAACTCCAGCAAAAATACGACAATGATAATTTGAAGCTGAGTATTTGTAACGATTTTTATAAGTGCATTTTAGTACTTTATTGTATACTAAATTGTTTCCAAGTATCATTTATATTATTGTTCCTCGGGACTCGGGGTACAGTATACATTCTTGGATTACAATAGAAATGTGTATGCATAACACGTTTGATAAAAATAAAATTCAACAAGGTCTGTTGTTTCGAAATCAAATCAAATCAAAATCCGTCTTTTGTTTTTGAACGGAATTAAACACTATTCAAAACATAACATGCATCATTGTGCGGCAAGTCATAACATCAAATTAATTGATATGTATACGTTAAGGTTTTTAGTAGCATTTTACACAAGCACAATAATAATAATAATAATAATTTAACATGGAGTGCACGGACGGTAGAATTATTTCAAAAATATATAAATAAAGATGAACAATATTTTTAGTGCGATAGTTTGTGTTCATACATTATTTGAATATTACCAATTTATAAAGGTAGGTACACACTTCTGGGATTTTAATTAACCGATTTTCCGAACTATACATGAATTTATTTGAATGAAAATAATAACATTATACCAATGATAAATAACCGTTTCAAAATTTGAATAATTCACATTGTGCATCAAGTCCGAATTTGTCGTTAGAAATGTTAATTTTTGCCATCTACAATACGGTCGACTTGGTAATAATCCAAACACACGATAAACAAAAATATTATTATGTTTTGTTAATTTTGTAAGTAAGATATATGGTTTTGGTTTTTGGAAGAAATAAACAAACAGCCGATACTGTTTTAAATAAATTTATATGTCGCTAAATTTTAAATGAGTTTAGTTTTAATTCAGCAGAAGCGACGAGCACATTTATTATATTAATACAAATATAGGTTTCTATTGTTGTTAGTATCGAATAAAAATCAAAAAATACCATTTTTCATCTCTTTTTTTATCGGTGAAAACGATAACATTAAATTTCTGGAATGAGCACAAAACATACGCAAAAATATAATGGTAGTAACAGATACCCAGGCCCGCATTTAAAGGAGGGCTTGAAGGAGCTATTGTCCCTGGAAGCAATATTAAAATTAGTTTTAGGGGCGGCAAAATATTGAAATGGTTTAAAATGTAAAATTGATTTACAGCTCATTTTACCTAATAAGTATAATAATACAAAAATATAGTACAAAATATAATGATATAACATAATTGGTATAAAGAAAAAAATAACTATAATAATATAATTACACCAAAATAGATTTTGAATGTACTTAATAAAGTTTTTATTCGTTGTAAACTCGAATGTAACTTACTACTACAATTGTGTAATATCAATTAATTAAAATGTTTTTTCTTTTCTTTTTGTGAGGAAGAGGGTTGGGAGGGCGAATTGTATGTTGCCTCTGGCGGTAATTTTTGTAAATACAGGTCTGCATACACCAAGAATAAACTGAGAATTATATCAAGTTCCCGAAATTAATCAACAATCGGAACAATAAACGAATAACGCAATGTATAATATATTTAAATGCACGTTCGACGAACGAATTTAAATGTAAGTTTATGATTAAAATGTCATATATCTACGAGTCGATGTTTAAAATTGAACAATTATATATTACTAGTCGACCCTTCCCGGATTCGTCCATGATTGGTTGATTTTTTGCCTTCGGAAGATGATATGTAGAATTTTTTTATTAATAATACTATCCACATATACAGTTGTTACTTATCACATAGCAGAAAACTGCGAGATTATGAGTTACTGGATGTCACGGATTGTATTACGGTATAATAATTTATCCAAGACTTGTTTCTAACATATTTATTCGATTTCGAGATTAAAAGTAACGCAAAAGATTCGCACACTCACCGGATTCGTGGTATAATCATTGGATATGTATGGTTCTGCGAGTGGTGTCTTGTCCAACAGATGTCTTTGGTGTCTTAGTCTTGCGCTCCACAAGTTATTGGCCGGAACTATACCTGTAGACAAACAAAAAATCGAAACGCACATGAGTATAACAATATAATACCATGTAAGTATAGGTAAAAACAACAGACGTAGGTGAAACGCAGCGAGACATAATAGTTGTAATATGTCATACGACAGTGCAACACGTTTGTAAACCGGCGGTTAGGTATCATAAAATAATATATATTATTATAGTAACACGAGGGAATTTTCGAGGAAATAAACATATGTAAAAAAAATAAAATAAACAACTGTAGAACAACTTGGCCTCGCTTACATATACGTAAACTACGCGTCTACGTGCTTACATATATACCTATATAAAAAAAAAAATTCTTTCTCACCGATTTAATTACTATGCAGTATAATCAATAATCATCGTTAATATTATAATATTATGTATGGATATACACATTATAACATACGTGAGCGTTGTACATAGGCGTATAGATGATTAATCGTTGCCATAAAAAATACGTTTTCGCCACTAAATTCTCGTAATGCCGTTATAGGCTATCTACGATTACAGTTAGATATTATAAATACGGCATAATATATATATAGTGTTTGGGTCATATGTCCCTTTTCCTAATATTAAACGCGGAGAGAGACCTCTTCCACGGCGGCTTATAATATTATACAACGGTCGAATTAAACAAAATTATACGGGCGGCAGAAAACGGTCAGGAACGTGCAATCGTCCACATTCGCTACTGATGGCCTACGACAGAATTACACAATGCGTATGTTTGTATCGTTTTACTGAATAAAATAAATAATTCTTATATTACTGTTGTTGTACACTAAAAACGCAACAGATTTTTTTTTTTTTTTTTTTAGCAGGGCAGACGATAATAAGTCTCCCAGAACATAATTATTGAAGTAAAAACGAAATTTATATACTTTGTATATTTTATGAAATAATAGACGTTCATTTTGTATAACTCGATTTGTCATATTTTTTGAGGCTATGAAAATACAAGGTTATTGGGTTTATTTTTTAGATTGCGACTTGATAGAGGATTAGCTCTTGGGGAGTTAAACAAACGCTATCGTATCTGTAGCGTGTCAATTGGAATCACGTCCTCGCATTTAACTTCAACGTAAAATGTATATCCAGTTTGATAGTGATACATTCTTGATATAATACAATTGATGATTTACTATTTATACGCACAACATATCTAACGGTTAAAAAAGTTATAAGACTCGACAAATATTATGATAATTTTATTTAATTATTTTTTTTATATTGAAATATGATAATCATCAAGCGGTATTTTACCAACGTAAGTAAAAAACGTACACCCACTTTCTTCGGCTCATAACGACATAAAAATGAGGCAGCGGTGTGTAATTATGATGTACTTTAATTACTCAAACAATTTAAAAGGATATGGTGTCCAAATGTGATGTCTTCGTTACACAAAAGCATAACATCAGTTATACTAAAGCATAACATCAAACTCGATTTTCAAGTTCAGAATAATCCATTTTTTACTTTTATTATTTTTAACAGTTAGATTTAGTAAACTATTAACCTATTATAAAATTGATGTGTAATGATATGTATGGTATGTCCTACTAGGCTTTAATTTTTAATTTTTTCGTATTTTAACTTTGAAGTTATGAGCGTTATACGATTTCCAATTGTAAAATGGATTATTCTGACATAAATATTAGTAGATAATATTATGTTAAGTTACAGTATCCTACTTAAAGCGCTATAGCGTTAACTATGCCGCTGTTGGGCGAATACAAAACATGCGGGTGCCGATGTCTTTTTTAACAGGACGAGTGAAACACGTGTCGTATCATTTACAGCGAACGTCATTCTATGAACGGTCATGGAAAATAATAAACGTCACACCCCTTAAACAAACAGAGTCACGGACGATTCTCTCTCACAAGCAAATTTTTATAAGTAAGTAAATCCAATTTTGGCGCAGCGGTTTTGAGTACCTATAGTAAAATCAAAAATGAGACGTAAATACCGCCGCCGCAACATAATAAGTCGTCCAACGTTACGGAGTTATAGGTGTATTAAATAGTACGAACGATATTAAAGTCAATATACAAAATACGTATTTGCGTGCAATTAATAATAATAATAATAATAGTTATTATTATTATTATTATTATTACTAACTCTTGATATAAGTGCAAAATAATGTTATACAGAAATTTATAAGCTTTGTGGTGACACGTTTGCGTGACAGTATTGTTCTTACATCATGGCATACACAATCATTACGTTTCTTTTCTCGCAGCGGTGAAACTGTATTTGTCTTGACGTTGAAGCCGACATTTAAGACATAGACAGTTCTCAATTTAATAGAAATAAATTAAATTCTAAACAGTAGTCATTATAATGTTACATTGTTTACAGGTAAACTTAACTATTAAAAAAAAAATCGTTAAAACGCTTATAATATATCATAGTTTTACATCGATTTTAGTTGTAATCAAACAAAACAGTAGAGTCGAAATAACTTTGAACAAAATATAATACTTAATAGGTTTACTGCTTGAATCCGAATGAAACTATCAAATCCAGTATTACACGTAGGTCCGTTTTTCCAGACTCATCGTGACATTATAAATACGCGATATTATTACATAAAGCACAATTCAATAAAAATAGATCATTTAAATTTATGACGGTTACATACTTGTATGCAAAGGATGAGTATCCCGCAGCGTTTACCATTGTTAATATATTTTTTTTTCTTCTTTCGTTTTTCAAAATTAACAATTGTGAACTTCTATCTATTCAATCGTCCATTGCAGCCGTAAACATTTTTGCCCAAAAAAATTGGATTTATAAAACAAAGAGCCAGGGAAATGATATTTTCACGGACGGTTAGCCATTATATTGCCCTGATCTGTGTTTAATAAACTACAAACATTTACATGTTACCATCATCGTAAAGATGAATGTAAAGATGAATCGAAAACGAAATTATTTTTAAAAAAAAATACCTCTCGGACGTCACATTCCTCGAAACGAGTGCGAATCGCCAACAAAATATTTTGTTCCATAGCTATACGCCACACTTTCTACGATATAATAATTAATTGTTGTCGAATTTATTATTATTTTATTAGTTATACACGATACCGCGTTATAATAACGTGTACATAACTTTACTGTGCTTTTTCGCCTACAGCACTATATTATATTACAGTACAGTTGCCGACCGACTGTTCGGCACGACCCGTTGTAGGTACTTGAGAGGGTGTGCAATGTTATTGTGTGTCATGTGGGTGGGGGGATTGGGGGTGGCGGTAAGTCCACCGCTAATAATAATTGCTTTTTGTTTCGGGCCAAATGGTTTAACTATTACAACGTATTCCGAGCACCGATGCGGGTGTGGTGTAGTAATCCAATCTTTCATATTCCACACTATTTTTTATTATGTACACATAAAACGTATGTAAATTTATCGTACACTATATACATACCGTACGCATACGACTATATGACGTATTTAAATGTGGGTAGAATTTTATGTGTTTTTATTTATCCATCGCCTATATAAAAATATTAGTTATAACTTTATAAACTATAGCTGTACAATTGTAAGTACCTGAAGAATTATAAAAATGAAATGCAAATACGTTCTATAATAATATATATGTACATTATATAATCTCGAACTCGCAAATAAAATTATCCTAATATACCGTGGAAAAGGAGTCAATAAATAACTGGAAATTTTAAATGCATATGAATAATAACGTTTAAAATCATTACCTTTTGTGTAAACTCGTTAATATCTTTAAACAATAATAATTTAAACATTTAAATATAATCCAAGCGAATGAAATTTTTATCAACAATTAACTTATAATTAATATTATAAGCTGAAACAGAATTTGCATAATTTTTATTCAAATATTTTCCAAAAAAAAAAAAATAAAATATATATTGTTCATATTTTAAGTGAAAAACAAGTTATTGAAAAATAAGCACTTCAATTCCTTTGGACAAGATAATACAATAATCGTCATACGCCAACACCGCGCTGTGTAGGTTAAATTAGGAATAACAACACAGCTAGTGTGTATCGATCTCCAAGAAATCTCGAGTTTTTACAACTTAATTAGTTAAAAATATAAACAAAAACGATATTTAACATAATTATGCTGCCACGTTTACTTCAACAAAATATATATATTATACGCAATGAAACATTTTACCGTCTCTTACTGAAACGACAAGAGCGTTTCATTAAAATCATTAACTCACAGCGCTTTCAAATATAGAGGATTTTAATACTAACAAAACAATTATATAGCTTTGTTAAAAATTAAAAAAAAAAAAAAATTACGCAGACGGAGATTTATACTTTGTAAATTATTTACTTAAGTTCGGTGGTGCAACTGACGCACGTCTTAAATTCAGTAAAAACAGTTTTTGATTTTCAACTACGCTAAACGCGATACGACACAATAGTATGATTATTATCCGAACAAAATATTATATATATATATACTATAGACAAAATGAGAGAAAACGGAAATAAATTGATTTTTGTCAATTTTCGATTATCACACTGTACCGTATATTTTTATACGCAATGTTTTACATAATAGGTAAACGTTGGTGTACTATATCACAAAATGAATACATTATTCTCGTATAATTTACTGTCTTAGCTTGGTTATTAAGAATGAAAACTGTTTTATAATTGACACAAAAACGAGGCGTTTCTTTTTTATGATAGGTATAATTTACCCACACACCATCGTCAAATTATCATACCTAATCGTCTAAATGCAATTTTCAATGTGGAATATACACGGAGCACATGCGTGTAGTTAAATCAGTATTTGGATGCCGTTACGAAAATTATTGAACATGTATAATGTTATATAATACGTATATATTATATTCATAACGCACGAGATGATGAAATAGTTTCGTCGTGATATCACGCGTTTTATACGCCACACAATATGCATAATATTATAGTAAAATAAATTCTAAAAAATAAAATATATTACATACTGCTAAGTAAATACACTTTATCCGTGTCACCCACAAAGGTGTGATCGCTAATCACGACTGCTTATACGCACAGGCGTATCGCGTATATATGTATTTTTTATTTATATATATGATAATATAGGTATGGAGGTAAAACTCGTTGCACGATAATCATATACACTTATTGATATTCCGTTCGTGTCAGACGCAGAATCATAATAATTGTCAAGGCGGTATATTATATATTATTCTGTCCAACGGCGTATAATAACGATTGCAAGAGCGCACGGACTTGGGCGGAAAACTAGCGTTTCCCTCGGACTTTACAACGCGGAAAATGTATACGTGTATAGTATAGGTATTATATTTAAATTGTCGAGACCGCTTATTCCGACTCGGCTGGTTTTGCCGCAAAGCTCTTATTGTAAAACCAAGTTATATATTATAGTAGTTGGAAGTGTGCAAATCATGTGGTCGCGAAATTCGCCAACTGCGAAACGCACAAAATCGAAAATCGCCTTCCTCCCACCTATGAACACACGGCGTAGTAAGTTATTATTGTACGTACACGTTTATCGTAGGAAAATCAAACAAAATATCTGTATTGTATCTCTACTTAAACGCATTCGTACGCAATACGAAATTACTAATGTGAAATAGGATTTGAATCGCTCTACAGTTTATAAGTCTTCTATGAATGTACGAAGAAAAGCGAGACTAATAGACGGTCACTGATAAATGTTTTTCTTTAAAAATAATAATGATAATAATTAATAATAAGCTTCATTAGTTGATTTTCGATTTTCAAGTGTTGGTGTCGCAAATCTAGAGTCTAGACTATTGACAAAGGTATAGTTTATTAATATCATCAAGCGATAATAAATGATGACAAGATTGAGTTTTTAAGTGGGCAATACAGTTATTATTTTACTGGAAATTCGAGAGTCAAGAGTCACACGAAAACAAAAACAATTTATTTTTATTTTATATCCACATTATATTATATTGATAATTATTACTTATAAATCAATGTAATTGCTCTCCGTCGTTTTTTACGGAATTCCATTCGTGACACTGCCATAAAACATCTGTGCACACACATACAAGTTTTAAAGTTATTAATACATCCAAAGAAAAATACAAAAGCTGTTATATTGACAGTGCGAGCGAGAGAATATACTGAAATACCAATATTTACCAGTAGAGTATTAAAAAGTATGACAAACGATTTGAACGTAAAACGAAAAACAGTATACATTTAGATATACAGACCACGCCATTCAATTATTGTTATTATTATATTAATAAAACAACATTTGCGCACACAAGCTAGTATTTAGTTGTTTTTTTTTTTTTGCTTTTATAAATCAAATACACAACAGCCAGATAACAAAACCAATACAAGTGTTAGACAAACAAAATTACTAAAAAAAAAAAAAAAAAAGATCAGTCATGATTGCAGAATACTGCAGAAGAAACACCTTGCTACAACAGCGATTGTAATTAAATATATAAAAAAAATAGACAGTCATTTTCTGTTTATATTACTTACAGAAATGTAAATACTTCAACTATGTCGTATGTGGATAGTGTGTGTACTGTTATCTGTTTTGCTGAGTAGTATCGTATATCACGGAGAACCAAGCAGGCGAGTTATTAGGTGCAAGCGTAAATACAGAGTGATATTCACCAAGTTTACAAGACCTCACTTCTATTTTTTCCATTTAGTAACGAATTTATTCAAAATTTAAATGAGCAAATGCTGAGTTTATAATTTATAAATTATAGCACGTAAAATATCTTTTTAGAATAACAGCGCTTAATGGTTTTACATACAATATGAAATTTTTAATAAAGTATTTATAAAAAATACTTTATTTTTTTATATAAATATATATATATATATATAAATGATAGATATTGTACGAATATATTTTGCTAAGTATTTAAAATATTTAGATGCATAATTTTCAAATCACTTAACTCCAAAATCATTAAAACCCTATGATATCCTTACCACAAGAAGTTTAGTAATTTACACACTACTGGCGTCAAATCTCGATTACAAAACTTGCCGTCAAACGGCGGTCAACAACTCGATTTTAATATTATGATGGGTGCACATCACACGTCGAATTACAAGAATGATCACCGAACGTTAAGGATTCTATATAATTCGGATTAGACATTTTCAATAATGTATTACGCGTACACAAAATCATAATATTATATTATGTAAATATAGCCCGGGTTCAAGTAATGGCTAACTTTTATTAGCGGAGTATAACAAAAAAAAAAGAAAAAAAAATACTTATAAAATCAAAACGCGACGCGTTAACCAGATCGACCTGTAAACTATAGTCAGGTACATGGTCACTCGAGGATTGTCGTCACAGACGTTCCTCTAACGGTCTAACATTTACACGGGTCGCGTATTATTACTTGTGCTATATTATTATTTACGGTACGGCGAATCCAGGACGGGTGCGCGTTGTTTAATGTGCGTAACAATTAGGTAAATTGGCGGAAAAACGCTTAGGAACGTCAGGTTGTTATAAAGAGCACAGCATGTATGTATTATAATATGCGAATGACTCGCATACTTGCCTGTGAATTACACTAGGAATCAGATAAAACGTTAAAATATACATCAACATTTTTTTTTTTTTTTCATATCGAGCGTGTTATATTAAGTCCACAAAAGAGCGAAAATAAAATCCAGAATAAGATACAGAACCGGCAAAATCAGAAACTTCGTATAATATTTATCGTACTTTCTTATATACTAGGGTGTAGTGTGATATTTAATTCTGAAAAAGCTCGTGGCAATCGAAAAACGATTACAGACGGTCACCGAAATTTCTTCATTGCGCTTAGAAATACTATGGAGAAAATCGAAAAATTACCTCTTAGAAATACCATCCGAACACGATATCCTATGGCTAAACGCGAGTAATGAAACTTCTCTGTACAGTAATTCTTTTGCCAGAAAAAAAAAGTGTAGGTACGGATAAAAAAAAAAAAAAAAAAAAAACTAACAAAGTAAAATCAATACACTGCAATCCTAGCTAAAAGAATCTATAAAACATCATACATCGACGGACTTAATATTTAATATTTGTTCGTCGTCGGAGACTTACATATCGTATGACACCGTAACTTACAGTAGGTACCTATACATGGGTATAAAATATTTTGTAACCAATGATAACAAAATATTGCCGTATTTTTTTTTTTTATTATTTGCACTTGCACAGTCACGGCATCTGTCGTAAATCTTCTTGGCGTCTCCACCCAGCGAATTGAATCGCTTAAACCATTTTCTTTCTGCTGCCACGCCGCGATCCACAGAAAAGTTTATAAAAGTTTAAAGTCATTAAAAAAATAAAAGAATATATAGTACCTACTAGGTATATATAGTAAAGTAGTATATAATAATTATCGCCGTTTCGCTGAAAGTCTGATGAAAAATTCAACGAGTTTGGCAAAATGACGAAAAAAAATGGGAAAGGAAAAAAAAATACGCAACTATATCCGCACTAGGATCTGTGTGATAGTGAGGAAAAGGGGAATGGGATGGAAGTAAGAATAGGTGAATCGGACAAATGATAAAGACGATATTTCATATACAAGTGTATATATACATAAACAGGTACCATAAAATATAAACAAATATGATACAATAATAGGAAAATACCGTCAATGTATATTATATTACGCACGATATTTAAATAAATATATTTAATAATATAATGTTACAATATCAGTTTACGCACGACATTAAAACTGCGCATAATATCATAATAACGTCGGGTAAATTGGCGTACTTGCATCAATCAAATTAATTGTATACATTAAAAAAAAAACAGAACAAAACAAAACAAAACCGGAAACTAAAAACTCGGTCAAAAGTTGTCGAGCACCGCCACCGTGTCAGCTGACGGCGGAATCCGATTATCGGGGTCAACATATGTGTTGGACGGCAACAGTGCCTTCTCGAGGGCCATGAGCACACCCAGATCCCGTATGAGTGTATTTCGGCCTTTATCGTACCGGACCAATAACGATCTGTAGCTCCGTAACAGGGATTTCTTGTGCTTAGGGTCGTTGCAAAGCAGGTACATGCGCCACGCCGGATACAAGTCCAGGAAGTCGTCGTAACAACGGTCGTACACGTCGCCCGCGGTTCTCTGCATTTCATCCATAGCCAACAACGCTCGGTTGAGTTTTTCGGTCTGCTCCTCCGCAGCAACAGGATCCGCATTGTCCGCCGCTTTCATGCTACCAAGTGACTCGGCCGCTACCAACATCTCCGCAACATCCCTCGTCATGTCCTCGTCACGGGCCATCATTTCTGAAACGGATTTCTCGAACACTCCCGCGGGACCAACTTCATCCGGTTGTTCGATCGCCGACACCGTCACAGTCACGGCCACCGCCACCTACAACAACGACGATCGCACCAACGAAGAAAGGGAAATTTCTTTTTTGTCATTGTCTTAAAACCCACATCGATAGATCTATCCAAACTTATCATAATACATGGAGACAACGAACAAATGATATTTTTATAATTTAATGGTGTAGCTGATATGATGGTATGAGTAAAATAAATCCTTTTATCACTATATATTATTATATAAATAGGCAATATATTGATGCCTCAATAATTCACTGAAGTGCATATACTTCAGGCAGAGAAATTTCTTCGATTCTTACAATTCATTTTATGATTTAATTTTTTTACGTTAAAAAAATAAATAATAATGAGATTAATTGGAGGAGTATAATAATCTGTTCTGCATACACCATTACAAATAAGTGGATGTTAAATAAAAATAATATTAATTTAGTACGGATTATTATTGTAATAAAAAATTTCGTGAAAGCATTTGTTGAATAATAATTTCTATAAACATACTATATCTAGGTATATATACTAGATACGTAGTATAATAATGTTAGCATTAATTATTTCAGTTTATTATTATGAATTTGTAAAAATAATGCATGTGGTAAGGCGAAAGATCCATGGACTTAAAGTCTCGATAAGTTTATTATACAAAAATAAAAGAACCATAAAAAAAGAAAAGGCGGAAAATTACATACAGCGCGATACATAATAAATTCCAATAATCAAAGAAAAAAAAGAAAAAAAAAACATTGTAAGTTGATTTATTCACTAACAAAACATAATGCTATGATAAAATTAAGCAATGAAAACTTTTATTTAAAAGAAAAAAAAGGGACAAGGAATTATTCGTAATGATGAGAATATTAATGAATGCGTGACATAATACATTTGTTTATTATCAATATTGATATTTTATGACATTTTTACAAACAAGTTACTGCAGGATTATCATATTGATAATCCTGAAGGGAATGGCACACTCTCTCTCCTTAGGCGTATAATATATTATAGGTTGAGGGTAGCAAAATATAGTAATATTGATTTTATTTTTCTGAAAATATTTTTAAACATTTTCTTGAGCTTTATGTTAATACGTTATAGTTTAGTCGTAAAGTATACCTACTATTTAATATTTATAATACATATATACACACACACAATTTTTAAACCCCATTTAGATCCGTTAATATATAAGCACTTTAGTCTATATCTCTCACTTTTATCTAAATATAAATACATATAACCTAAAAGCAAATTATAGTTTTAAAATGTTAAAGTGCCATGTCAAAAGTGTACTCAATTTGTATTAATCAATTAATATTAATTTAAAAACACAGTACGAAAATGCAAAAAGTTAGGCAATGATATATGATGTTTTTCAAATTTATATAATTGTGATACTCAGAGTTGAAAAAAAATATTTGACTAGATCTTATTAGAGTAGGCTATGGTAGTACGTCAGTTATATAAAATTTTCGAAAATATTTTAGTATAACTTTTAATTTAAAAAGCAGATAAGTTCAAAGACTAATCAGGAACAAAAAAAAAAAAATAATAATAATAAACCCTATACAATTAAGTTATTCATAAAGTTTAACCTTTAACGTATTGAAAATTAATAAACCTAATGTCTATGTTGAAAACATTAATCTGATAGCAAATCGATTTAAACTAAACCGAATATATTAGGTTTAATATAGTAATTAATTAAATATATTCCTGAATTGTAACGGATCTAATAAAAATAAAAAATACTGGTGCACCAATAATCCATGAATAAATATGTTCAAGTTAGATCTGCCCATAAAATTAAATATAATGAGATAATATTATTTATTGCTTAATAAAAAACATAGAATTTTGAACAGATCGAATTGTGAAATTACTATTTTAGACGACGTATAGGTTTGAAAATTAAAGCTGTGCTCCCAAAAATATCCGTTGTATTTAATCGTCGCGTTAATAATTTATCCATTTTATTCTCAAATCTGTTTAAAAATTAAATGTAATATCGTTTATAATAATATAATTATAATACTTATCAGTTTATCATCAAAAATCGATTTCGTGTGAGCTTACCGCAAAAATGGCGTAAACCGTGTACGCTGACATTTCTCGATAATTATTTTTCGTTTTAGTACCGCGTTCGTCAGTGCAGTGACGCTGACCGTTCATATCACAAATATCGCACTGTACACCATTGGTGCGTATTGTTATCCGAATAAACAACACATGTACAAACGTTTAGATTGTAAATATAATGGATAATGTAAACAGGTAGTATTTTTTGATGACGATTGACAACTACTGTTCAAATTGTTAAAATGATTGTACGCAATATACGACTGCTATAATGGTTGTTTAGATTATTCATCAGTTGTGTCTATAGAACGTGCGTGTTATTGAAAATAAGAAAATCGTTAATTGCAATAAGTACGACACATTAATGATTTATATTCATGTACAATCGTTGTTGTCAAACTTTTAACATTTGTCATACGTGTTTCTTCAGTGTACCTGGCAGCCGTTCATCGAGGTAATTTAAAATATGTAAAGTTTGTCCGGGTTGTGATTCCTATTATATACACATATACAGATGACATACATTCTATACACAAAGCAATATTTCTACAAGTCAAAAACTATACTGCTATATTTAATTTCTCGCATTTACACAAAAAGTGTATTTTTACCTCTTCTATATTGGACATATAACAATGACGTAATTAATTTGTGTATATTTATGACAACATCGAATCGATCTCTATCATTAAAACGATGACAAATTAATTTAACTCTAATTTATTCCGTACATCGGTGGCTTATTTATTTGTTATTAATTGCTTACGTACGTGTGTTTTTATCAATATAAACTTAAGTACGTAAAAATATTAAAGTTTAAATCCTAAACTTTTATAAGCATTTGAGCACTTCTAAAGGAATATAAAACGAAAGATCATAATTATTATATTTTGTATAGGAAAAGCAAATAAAAAATTTAATTCGATATTTTCCAATAGGTATACCATACTTGACAATTTAATCGATATTTAATAACGAATTAACTATAAAAAAAAAATACTAATATATTTTGTGTGTGTGTGTGTGTGTGTGTGTGTGTGTGTGTGTGTGTGTGTGTGTGTGTGTGTTTGTTACGGACAAAGTAGACGTATAGTAAGCATTATGGTACTGCTCGATTGCGCAGTGTAGGTAAAATTATACTTTGCCCGGCTATATAAAATTGCCCAGTCTAAGTTGGGTAATGTAAATCAATTCACTTGAATTATTAAATTTACAACTGACTCTGTTCTTACAACAGTTATTTTATTTATTCTATTATATACTTTTCCTTCAATGTTTCATCAACATCACAATAATTTCCAGTATTCATAGATGTTATAGTCGCTTCAAAATCGTCTTCAATTTTTAATTTATTAATTATTGAAATTGGATGTACAATCATAATGTGAAATCATCGTTTAATCCAATTTTTGCATTACATCCAAACATTGTTTCTATAATTTCATACCAATAACTTTATAAAATACAACTCTTTTTATATATACAGATAAATATAAAAGTGCGTACATAACTCCAAAAGTATAATACGTATTAAATTGATTGTAACATGGTATCTATCCTCAATATATCTACTGTTAAACACATTAATAAAAAAAAAAAAAAAATGTATTAAAACGAAATATTTTGTTTATAGGTAAGTTACAATACCCAATTTTGTACGGGCAAAGTAACTTGGACCGGTCTAAGTATAAAACCCTGCATAGCAAAAACGTTTTTAATATATTGCCCAAAAATACCAAGCAAAGTACATATAGACCAGACAATGTAAAACATTGTTCGATAGTCTACTTTGGCAATTGGCCGTAACATATATATATCTAACTAAGACAGCTTAACGATAAAATAATGATTTAGGTTTAAAATGTAAAATATATTTAAATTTAATTTTATGAGACATAATATTAATATTAACGAATGTTGTTCGAGAAACATGTTGTACAAGAATGTATGTTAATACACCAATTAACAAAATGTCAACTCAAACACTGTCGATCAATAATTAATATTCAAATTAATCAGCACGGCGTCAACGTGAGTAAAACACATCACGTATATAAAGGTGAAAGGCATATTATTATGTCGAAAATTTAAATTCAAAACTGTTACAATGGTAATGAGTTTATGACTTATAAGACTTTAAACAAAACCTAGTATATATCGGCAAATTAATGTAGAATTTAAAAGTTGGTGATGTTCTTATGTAAGTAGTTGTACTGTTATCAAATAATAATAATAATATTTTTCTATTGTTTTTCACTACTAGGATTTTCAGGTTTATATTTGACGAGTAAAATATTTCTGAACAGCTTTTATTATTAATCATACCAACACTGCGGTGTTTTAAAATAATATTATGACTGTTTAAATTACATTATACGCATTGCATAATGTTAAAATCGTTTAAAATTATTGAATCACGTGCACATATGTTACAATATGCTATATATACCGTGTTATTCAGAATAAACTTATTGTATATTTACCTACTATAAAGTCGTTAGTTTGTGTGTACACTAGTCGAAAAAATCCTGCCCACCTCCTCTCAACGTAATAGAAAAACAACAAGGAGATACGATAAAGGAGTAAACATCGTATCTTATACCTAAACCAATATGATATAAAATGAATACATTAAACCAACAATATCAAAATGTATATTTTAGTGGATATTCATCCGAAACGATGTTACTGAGACAACATACGCTTCGTTATACTATACGATTAGTAAAATATACAAGTATTATTGTTTAATAAAAATATATAAATATAAGCATAATATGGATAAAATATTATTTTCAGTTTAAAGTTTGAATTTAAATCAAAAAATTTCAACTTCTTTAACATGCATGATTCTACATTACATAAGTTATTACATGGTTTTTATTCGACAAAAGGATTGCAAGATAATTATTTTTTAGACATTTTTGCGAAAATGTTTGTGATTTTTAAACTACACTCGAATATAATTTAAATTTCAATACGCGATTGTTGTCTGTGATAAGCTACAAAACTATACGCTAACTACAAAAATAACAATATAATAATATCTAAAACATTATGTCTTAATACCAATTAATATGCGCAAGCAACACATTTTAATATTTTTTTTACCTAATACAGCTGCTTCTGATATTTTTTTATATAATTTAATAAAGTTTTTTACGAGGTTTTTTATGAACTGTTTATTGTTTACGTTTTGGAATTAATAATGTCAAAAAAACAACAATTTTATGAGAAAAATTATGAACGGGAAAAATCAAATTAAAAATGCTTGTAGTTTTTAAAACTATATAGGTATGTAATATAAATGTAATCCAAATAAGGAATTATAACTAGCTTATTAACATATTAACAAGATACTATTTGTTTATGAAAATGTTATCAACTATAGAAATCAATATTTATGTATAATATATAAATAGGTGTTAACAATAAATGCATGTCTGGAAATGAGTTTCTTAATGATTAATGGTTAATTAATAACATATATTTAATTAATAATATTTTGTAGAATATGATTATAATCATAATTAATAAATCATTATGTTGTGTATTATATTCAATGACATAATATATAATATACATAAATAGGTACTTCCGACTTTAAAGACAGTTTTCCGTCACAGCTTGGATCGAGTTGTAAAATTATTATAGAACGGTGGTTTTTAATTATGAAAGCACAAACACAGATTGTATAGACAATGTCCAACTTCGATCTTTTTTAAAATTATTCACTAACATAACGACGAATGAAATTATTTCAACAAAATTTCAAGCTCATCTTATTTATAACGCGAAATGCTTTCATTTTCTCATCATCAAATTTAGGTTTATCTGACGGAAGGTCATAGATTTATTTAGGATATTTAAATTGGAGGAAAAAATGTGTACGCACGTTTCCGAGACAAAACAAGAACGCGCGATAATATTTAGACTATAACACTACACGTAAAAAATATTAAAACGAAATATGTTTTTATACATAGAAGTTTACTCTAACAGTATGTTCTAAATATATATTCATATTACAACTACCTACATTATTTTTTTAGATTTCATAATAAAATAGTTAACTATTAGAACTTTTAACCGTAAATAGTAAATACTAAAAACAATAAACTGAGTACATGACAAATGACTGAGTAAGGTTCGAAACACTGAAAAATAAAATATATAAAAATAAAAATGTAAGTAGTTATTTAAAAAAAAAAAAGAATTTTTTAATCTAAAATATGAACCCGAGTTCAAACAAATAGGTTTTTTTACAAAATACAAGTACTTAAAATTATTCATGGATTTTTTTTTTTTTTAATTAAAGCATATTATCATAGAAATCAACCACGATGAACAATATGTATTAAAAAAGAACGCATTTAAAATTAAAGCCTTTTAAAAAATAATAATAAATTATAAATAAAATACATTAAATCTTTTAATAATGCTATATTACGCCAGCATAATATTATATTCACTAATTGAATTTGTTATGGTCTGCGGGGAAACAATATATATATACACATTATTTAGGACTAATTTTTACATTAATTGTTGATCTGTAGACCTACCCATCAAAATATCGAAGCCAAAATTCTACTTAGTATACATTATTTACCAATTTGACCTCTCAAAATCGAATTAACGTAGTTAAACGCATTTGCAGAGAATAATAAAACAACAACATGAAAATTAAAAAAATAATTCATTAGCTGGCATATCGCTATATTATAATCTATGAAATAAAACTGCCATTGATTGTAAAATTTGTAAAAAATACACAACATTTTCAGTTTTGAATAAAATTAAGTATCTAATTTAATATTTTTATTTTTTAAATTTGCGGCCTATAATTTTTGGTTATGAGAGCGGTCATTCTAAAATAATAAAAAATGTCCAAGGTCTATTGTAAAAAGCGGATTTCTCTCTACAGCCCAAACGTTAGCGAAAATAAAAATCAGATGATCTTGTATAATATTTTATAAGAGGTACATACCTATCAAATTATATATATTATATTCGCGTGACAAAAGCCGAAAACCATTCAGAAGAATAATATTCTTTCTGTATTCCACGTCTGGTCATTATATTGTCATGTGCATGAAAAGTGGCCATTTTCGTACAAGAAGTATCCTACTAAGTTTTAATACCTAATTATTAAAACTTTAACATTGGTTTATATAAATAT